TCCAGCCACTGTTGGTGGAGCTGGAGTGCTCGGCCAGGGAAGCTGGTCTGCGCTGGTCCTCACAGACCTGCTCGAAATCAGTAAAAGCAAGGTTTCCTTCTGCTGGCTTCACGTTTCCTTGGCTGGAGGGAGCAGAATTTTCCAGAGTTTTCTGGAGTAAAACCTGTGCAGGACATAACTGCTCCTCCAGGGATTGAGGTTGGATCTCTTATTTAGCATCTGGAACTCCTCCTTTAAGGAATTTCTATGGTTCTTTGGCTTCCAGGGAATGATTTAAATCCGGTTCTGTGATTTACCTGCTGCCATCCATGGTGGGATGGGTGTGAGTGTTCCCTGCTCCTGATTCCCTCCCCTCTTCCATGGTAAGAACCATGGAAGGCCCAGCAGAGGCAAACACAAAGGAGTTTTCCTCATCCTTCAAAGGGGAAAATGAGAAAAGGAACTGAATGTGCTGGATCCTGCAAATGGAAAGGCTCTTGGATACTCTGCCTTTGAGAACGGCTGGAGAGCGAGTCAGGAAGCAAAAGGCACTTCCAAAAGCATTCCCACTGCTGTACCTGTGCAGGTATTCCAGCCTTCTAGGAGAGGTGAGGGAAGGGAACTGGGATGTAAGGTAGTAGATCCATAAGAAGCTGCCGAGGTAATAACATGGGATCTTCTCCCCCGGAGCCGGAGAGGAGGGAGCACAGCCGGCATTCCCGCTCCTGGAGACATTTGAGCCTCGTGAACTCGAGCGCCAGACGCTCCCAGTAGGATGTGTCTGCCCAAGCTCAGCCTCCTGCCCGGGAAGCTGCCGGCTGGGACGGATCGTTTCCCCGAGGAGCTGCCTGGGATGCTCCTGGCAGAGATTCCGGCCGTCTCTGCCCGGTGGCGGGAACGGGACGCGCTGGGTGTGCGTCCAGGAGAAGGGATGATGGATGCTGCTTCCCTCAGATCTCTGTGTCTTGGCTTCTGCTGGAAACCACAACGTTTTCCCCCCTCCTGATCTCCCAGTGCAGCTGATTAATCCTGACTGGCCTCCGGTGCTCCAGGAGAAATCCCAAACACGCCGTGCCAGAGCCAAGGGAGCGAGTCCTGAAACTGGAGCTGCAGCCTGAGACTTCAGTAAACAGGATGGGGAGAACATGAGGCAGAGAGTCCAGCCAGCACTGAGATCCCTCTGCAATAACCCAACCCAGAGTTATCCCAGAAATCCAGTGCCATCCGTGCTTTGCTTCCATCCACAGCTGATGATTTTTCGGGGTGTTTGTTCTTGCTGAGTTCTTTCTCTGTCATCAGCCGTGATCTTACTTCATTTTACAGACCCCCAGCTCCAGATGATTTTAAATACCTGTCTTAACCCTCCCAAACTGTAGAATTGGAAGCAGGGGGCAGATGATTTGCCTTAGAACAAGGAATTTGTGCCTGGCTCCTGATGGAAGAGTGAGGGGGGGGTGCAGGAGGGACCTCCGTGCTTGGCTACTCCTTCAGCGGATCAAGGAGTGGTTGTGGAGGTCTCCACGAAATTCATTCTCTCTGGGAAATGGGATTTGGTGTCAGCCCCCCACAGCTGCTGGAGCACTGCCCTTCTGCTCGTGCTGTAACAACTAAAGGGAGCAGTTTGAGCTGCACTTCCCCGAAAAAGAGGTTTCTTTGTGCAGAGGGAGGTGACGGAGCCCTCACTGAGAAGGTGTCAGTCCCCCTTCCAGGTAGACACGCTGGAGGACCAGAGACAATTGAGGGAATGTGAAGGCAAAATCCACTGGAACGCTGACAGATAAATACCTGGAAATGCTCTCGGTGCCCCTTCTTGCCTTTATTAATATTCATGTATGCCAAAGGAGCAGCAGCAGCACTGACTGCAGGTACAGTTGAACATTTGTGCAGTTTTCCTGAACAGTGGGAGCAGTGACATTAAACATATGCAGGAATCCCCATAGTTATAAATATTTACAAATATTGATTTTGGCAGGAGCACCTAATTCAGATGTTGTGAGCTCCCTAATGCAGTGTTTGTGTCTGTCACCGTGTGCTCCTCGGGCTGGGTCTGTGATCCGGGGGGTTCCCTCAGTGTGTCGCTTGGGAAGGGAATTTTAATATTTGTGCAGCGGAGTTGGGGAATAAACCCAGCACTGTGTGATGAGCACAGGGGTGGCAGTGGCCACTGCCTGCTCAGATTTGCCTCGGTTGCCTTCAGTCAATCAGAAGCAGATGTTTTCCTGAACTTTCAGTGCATGGGACAGTTTTTTGTATCGCAGAATATCCTGAGCGGGAAGGGACCCACAAGGATCATCGAGTCCAACTCCTGGCCCTGCCCAGGACACCCCAACAATCCCACCCTGTGCCTGAGGGTGATGTCCAAACGCTCCTGGAGCTCTGGACACTGCCCTGGGGAGCCTGTTCAGTGCCCCAGCACCCTTGGGGGAAGAACTTTTCCCTGAGATCCAATCCAGATACATCAGAGCTCCTGAGAGCTGTGGAGAAACGTTCCTGCCCTGAGAAGACACCTGGGTGGGTTCTCTTAGCCCATTTTCGCAGACACCAGCAGTGATTTCCTTTCCTTTTCCGTGGAGACGTCCCTTCATTCTTTTATTTTGATTTTTTTTTTCTTCCCCCCCCCCTGCCCTCAGCTTGGAAACGAGCAGGAAAAAAAAACCCAACCCTCTCTCCTAAGAACAGGCTTTGTGAGAACCAGGGTCAAAGCGAGCAGGAACAATACATCCCTAATGAAACTTCCCTAAAGCATCCAGCTCCAAATTGGGCTCTTCAGCGGCGGGTGGCTGCAGATGTCGGTGAGAGCGCAGCTCCTGCTAAAGCAGCCTAATGTATGTAAACCATCGCGGCAAGCAGGGCCCGCACAGCCAAGGAGACTGCAGATGGAGAGAAAAGGCTCCTGATTTCGGGAAAATAACAAAACCTGTTTTACCATATTGTGCATTAAATATTGTTCATTTGCATACTTTCCGTGGCGGGGTTCTGAGAGCCCACCATGTGGTGGACTTGTTGGGAGTCGGGAAAGATCCTCTTTTTCCAAATGGAGATGTGTTAGTAGAAGCTGCTGCTTAATTAGAAAACAAAAATAACTAGGTTTTGGTGTTGGGGTTGGTTTTTTTTTTTTTTTTGAATTCCCTTATTTTTTCCCCCCCTTCCTTTTGTTGGTTTTTATTGCCTGGGTTTTCGGTTGTTTGCTTGGAATTCCGTATAGGATGGGGAAGGGAAGCATGGGTGCAGTCGCTGCAAAGAACTGCATCCCGGTGTTTTACAACAGTCTGCCTGCTTGGAACAGGCACAGCAGGGATTCCTCCGTGGAAAATTTCCAGCAGATAGCCAGGCAGATTGGAAATACCTCTTAGATGATTTTTTTTGCATTTTTATATAGAGTAGTGGAGTTTTTGGTGTATCTTTAGTGCATCGGCAGCTGAAGTGTCGGGTGGTCCGAACGTACAGTGCCACAGATTAATGAGGGAAACACAGAATTCCCGAGCTCAGGATCATCAGCTCCTGGCCCTGCACAGGACACCCCGAGAATCACAGTCAAAGGAATTAAAATGTGCTGAAGGAGAAGGAAAAGTCCTTGTCCGTGGGGCGGGAGCCTTGCGTGCAGGGTTTGGAGAAGGATGGACTAAGATGTTGTTGGAGAGAGGAGGTTCCCTGTCTCAGTAGCCATGGCAGGGGGTGGAATGAGATGATTTTAAGGTCCCTTCCAAGCCAAGATGTTCTGGGGTTCCATGACTCTGTGATTCTGACCCCTTTCCACGTGTGGGATTGTGTGATCCCGGAGCAGTGGGTGGTATCCGAGCACAGACCCCCATTAAGGGCAGCCTTGGAGAAGGCTCATCCCTCCCTGGAGCAGGCAGGGGTTTGGAGCTGGAGGCTGCCAGCTCCAAATCAATCTGTTACTTTATAAGCTGCCAACATAAAGAGTGTGGGGCGGGCGGTGGGAGCCGGAGCACTCCGGCATTCCGGGGGGTTTGCAGGAGCCAGGGCAGCCCACACAGCTGGCTCCAGCAGGGATCGTGCTGGAGAGGGTGCAAAGAAAATTGGGAGGTGGTAAATCGTAGTTGGGGGGGGAGGGGAAGGTGGTGGTTCTTAAAGCAAAAGGAATTTTTAGCCCCGGGGAGATCAATTCCCGCCTCTTGGAGCTGCCGGGATGTGTCACTTGTCACCTGCTCTCCCTGGTGTGCTCCTGTCAGGACAGGGGGTGTTCTCTCACACAGACCACCCCAGGGCACAGCAGATCAAACTGCCACCTTCAATTCCTCGGGGAGTTCCCTCTGGACCTAAAAAGGATCCCCTGGGCTGGGGAGATCCACCCCAAATTTCCCAGGAGGTCGGTGAGTCCACTGACACCTTCCAGGTGCTGGGACTTGGAGACCCAAGGGGGGACTTGCACTGGAGCCTTTGGTGCTCCCAGCCTTGAACATCCCATTTGATGGAAGCTTTGCCTGACCTTAATTAGGCATCATGTCTCTTGATTATTCCATGAATGTGGGTGAGTCGAGAGGGTAAATCCTTCCTGGAGAGATGATTGAAGGAATTATTTTTCTCTACGTTGAAGCAGTTCTTTTATAATTAATCACAGAATCCCAGGATGGTTTGGGTTGGAAAGGACCTTTAAGCTCATCTCATCTCATTCCAAGCCCTTGCCATGGACAGGGACACCTTCCATCAGACCAGGTTGCTCCAAGCTGGCCTTGAACATTTCCAGGGATGGGGCAGCCACAATTCCTACAATTGCTCTGGACAACAGCAAATATTGAAGGTGGTTTAATTAAAGCAGACAGTGAAGAGAATATGAAGGCCCAGGGACCAGCCTCCTCCTCCTCTGACAGCAGCAAAGGGATTGGGGATTCACCTGTTTGGGCAGAAGCTTCTTGTTGTGTCCTCAAACGAGGTTCTTCCTGACCAGGATGCTCCTCCTCGTTCCCATGGATTGAAGCCCTGGATAAAATCCTCTGGCTTAGCCCTGGGAAGGCTGAGGGTGTTAATTTGCTCTTTCTCCCCCCGCCCCTTCTCCGCAGCAGCAGCAGGAGATGCTGGCCATGAAGCACCAGCAGGAGCTGTTGGAGCACCAGAGGAAGCTGGAGCAGCACCGGCAGGAGCAGGAGCTGGAGAAGCAGCACCGGGAGCAGAAACTTCAGCAGCTGAAGAACAAGGAGAAAGGAAAAGAGAGTAAGTGGCCAGAGCTCCCCTGTTTGGGTGGTGACAGGGAGAGCAGCTGAGTGGGAGCCAGAAAGGACCTTCCTAGGGCTGGAGGAACCTCTGTGAGTTCCTGGGCTGCACAGGGAACTGTGGGGAGGGATGGAGGGGAAGAGGGAAATGTGTTTCTCTGCTTTATCTCCAGTTTTGTCTCACTAAATGCCTTTTTAGCGTTTTTCAAAAGGAAGCCTGGCCTCTCTTCCCTTGATTTAACGTTTTTTGAAGTATTTTTGGCAGCATTCCTAATGGAGGCAGAATATTAAGCCCATAAAACACCAGATGCACCCTGCATTGCTTCTCCCTTTCACTCCTCTGAATCCCACTCCTTTTAAGACGTCGTTGAGTCCTCAGCTCTTCCCTTTAAAGCGTTTCCATTCAGCAGGAGCTTCTTTCAGGAGGTTACAGATTGTGGGGGCCCTTCCCACGTGCCATTATGCACTTGATGAGATCATTATGGCCTCACAATTTCCCTTATCAGAGGCGCTTCGAGGCTGCTTGTTCTGGTTTCTTTTGGGAGTGAAAGGGAGGAAAAATGCCTCGCCAAGTTGTGCCCTCCATTCCCTGGGTCTTCGTTTCACAGGGATTGAAGGAGCTCCTGGTGGAAGAAGTGGTGGAAGGGGGTGCCAGGAGGTGGGATCCTGCCTGGGAAGCAGGAATAAGGTAGAGCTCCAAGAAGAACTTTTCTAGCAGGAAAGTCTGGGACAGTAAAAAAAAAAAAAAATAAATGTCCTGGATGTTGAATCTCCCTCTCCCTGTGTGTGAATGTGGCAACTGGGAACCATCAAGGCTGGAAAAGCCCTCTGAGATCATCAAGTCTGTCCATTCCCCCAGCACTGCCAAGGCCTCCACTAACCCCTGTCCCCAGGTGCCACATCCACGTGTTTCTCTGACGCTTCCAGGACTGTGACTGCACCACTGCCCCGGGCACTTTCCAATGCTTGACCACTCTATCCATGAGGAAATTCTCCCTGATGTCCAACCTGAGTCTCTGTGGAGTGGGATCAAAGAGCCCTCTGGACACAACACAGAGGTGCAGGGGAAAAATGAAGGAGAATTTTGGGGATGTTGAGTTGAAGCTCCTGTTCCCATGGCTACGGTTTTATTTTTAAATTACTTTCTAGTTAAGAAGTGCTGTGGTGTAGAATCATTAGAGCACCTCAGCTCTTGAGGATACTCAAGTTATTTTTCGCACCTTGGAAAATTTGGAGCAACGCAGCTATAATTGTCCTGATCTGAAATATGGAGAGTGTGGGATAGAGGTGGAGTTTCTTCTCCCTCCTTGTTAACACCCCAGGCTGGGAGAGCTGGGGGGGCTCACCTGGAGAAGAGAAGGATCCAGGGAGACCTGAGAGCCCCTTGCAGGGCCTAAAGGGGCTCCAGGAGAGCTGGAGAGGGACTGGGGACAAGGGATGGAGGGACAGGACACAGGGAATGGCTTCCCACTGCCAGAGGGCAGGGAGAGATGGGAGATTGGGAAGGAATCCTTTCCTGTGAGGGTGGGCAGGCCCTGGCACAGGTTGGGCAGAGAAGCTGTGGCTGCCCCTGGATCCCTGGAAGTGTCCCATTCCAGGTTGGAGCAGCCTGGGCTGGTGGGAGGTGTCCCTTCCCATGGCAGGGGGTGGAACTGGATGATCCTTAGGATTCCTCCCAACCCAAACCCTTCCATGGTGTCTGGGGCCTTTCAACCTCCAGCCAAGGAGGGAAACCTGCACGGGGAGCTCCTGTAAACCTCACCATCCTGAGCTGTTCAGCTTCAAGTCTTCCAAAGAACAGGTTTATCCCAAGCTGACAGGACACAGCCACATCTGATTGTTTTAAAGATGCTGATGGATTAAAGAAGACGCTGTTTGCAGGGAGAGGAGGCCTTGAAGCAGGAATTTGTCACCTCACCTGGTCTTGCTGCTCAGGAGTTTATCTCCAGCTCCTCAGCTGAACTTGCCACCAAACCTGTGTTTGGAGGGCAAGTGTGAAATGCAGGGCTCCAAAAAAGGGGATTTTTACACTTCTGAGCACTGTTTCGGTGTTTGAACAGTATTTCACCCTCAGGCTCTGCCTTATAAGAAATGCTGCAGTTTCCTCCTCTTGAGAGGAAATGTTTCCCCTGCGTGTCAAATGTCACCTCGTCGTCGAGGGGGATCCGGGAGCCGAAAATACCACGGGGTGATCTTTGAGTTTTTATTCCTAGTAGAGCAGACACTTTTCCTGGCTTTTTCATTCCCTCCTTGCCCGGATATTTTCCTTTGGAGCTCCTGCTTCACGCCCCGGTGTGGATGAAGCCTCATTTTCCACGTGTCCCGGTGCCAGAGTTTGGCAGGAGCTGTGCCGGGGAGCCTGGGCTGTCAACCCAATGAGCAGTTGGATCCATCAGGGCAGGAAAACAGCCTGGTCTCCATTGTGGAGAGGAGTCAGGATGAGGAATTGCGCAGCTGGCGTTTTAACTCTGCAAAAATCACTGAGTTTCTTCGTGAAGTGTTTGGTTTTCCGTGTGAAGCAGGAGATTGGACACTGGGAAGTGAATTGGAATTGGTGTGCACAGGGACAAAGAGGTCCCTCTTTGCAGGAGTTTTCAAGACAAAATCTGCATGTGAGATGTTGGGCTCGTTCCCCCCCTGCTTCCAGATGTGACATTTAGCAGCTGGAGTTTCCACAAGACCCTTTTTCTCTCATACCTTTGATTCAGGGAGAGCTGGAGCACCTCAGACAAGTGTTTTATTCCAAGTGTCTTCTGTACTGGTGTAAAATCCTTGAAATTAAGTGAAATTAAAGCTCTGATTACATCCCTGTTTTCAAACATAACCTGTGATTTTATGCAAAGCTAAAGGGGGGGAAAAAAAAAAAAAGAAAGGGAGAGCTCCTTCCTGGAGGCACTTTGTTCTTTTCCCTTTGAAAACCAAGTTCTTCTTTTGGGCTGGAAATCAAAGATTTAACTCTGAATCTTTTGAGACATTTAAAATTCTTCCCAGGACGGGAATTGATTAAAAAAAAAAAAAAGAACAAACCAACTTTATTTTATTTTCTTTTCCTTTTTCTTACAGGTGCAGTGGCAAGCACAGAAGTGAAGATGAAGTTGCAGGAGTTTGTGTTAAACAAGAAGAAGGCCTTGGCCCACCGGAATCTCAACCACTGCATCTCCAGTGACCCTCGCTTCTGGTACGGGTAAGTGGGGCTGGTCCTTGGCACCCAGTCGCTGCAGGTGTGGGGAACAGGCCTGACGTGCTCGTGGGATCCCCCAGAATTCCCAAAGAGCCCTTTCCAGAGGGTTTCAGTGGGAGTAATTCCCGTGTGTGCCGGGAGGGTCGCGGTGCGTTGAGGTCTTTGCTGTGTTTAATCCCCAGCTGTTCCAGCTCACGGGTCCTGCACATGAACCTGTGGAAGTCGCCCAGCTTTTCACCCAGGGCTTGGTTTTCAGGTGTTTTAAAACTTGAACTTCAGGAAACTGAGGAATAGTTAGTTCATGCCAGGAGCTGGATTTCACTGATCCTTGTGGGTCCCTTCCAGCTCAGGGGATTCTGTGAGTCACTGAATCTCAACTCAGGATAGTTGAGCAACCTCCTGTTTTAAAGCCTTTAACACTTTCTGCTCATCTCAGTCTCTCAAAGTGGGAAGTCGTGTTTATTTGACTCTTTCTGGAAACATCCAATGAGTCCTGGCCGCACTTCCAGTCACAACTGAAAAATCAAATTTTCAACTGGAAATTTTCAGCTCTCGGTCTCCAAGAAAGCACTTTCAGCTTCAGAAAATCACTCCTTCATTGTGTAAAAGACAAGCAGGAAATTTGAGATGAGCTGAAAACTTCCACTGCCACGACATTGTGACTCTATTAAATAAAAAGCCAAAGTGCTTCTGATGTTGTCGTTAGCGAGAAGAAAATTAATGAAATTCTGAACGACAAAAATCAAGGACATTTCATTTTTGCCATGAGATTCGTGTTCAGGCTGAGGTTCTGACAGTGCTTCAAGTCTTAAAAACTGAACATGTGTACAGGGAGGATGAGGTCATAGCCAGAAGATGTTTCCAAATTCCAGAAACTGAGCTGAAATGCAATTTGAAAGCTCTCCCAGCTCTGAGCCAGGACAGAAATGCTGAAGTGGAGTTGGCAGAAGGATTCAAGTGTTCTTCCAGTCCAGGGAGATTGAGCAGTTTTAATACATCTCTGAAAATCTAATCTGAGACTTGGGGATTTTCTTAAAGGTGGTTGAAGGCCCTGAGCCTTCCTGTTCTCCATTTAACAGCTGGTTAAAATAACAGTTAATCCAGAAGTGATAGACAGTCAATAAAAATTAGGAGTGTCCAGAGAAGCTGGGGCTGCCCCATCCCTGGAAGTGCCCAAGGCTTGGAGCACCCTGGGCTGGTGGGAGGTGTCCCTGCCCATGGCAGGGGGTGGAACAAGATGGATTTTAGGGTCCCTTCCCACCCAACCCATCCTGGGGTTCTCTGTGTTGCAGGGCCAGGGGTGATGCAGGATGTTGGGGCTTTTAGGATGCTCCTGCCCTGTTCTAGACTAATGCTGAGGGCTTTCTGAGCACCAGTGTATTATTTATGTTCCCTGTGGCTCTTACTAATCCCAGCATCCCCCTCCTGTGACGCTCCAGGGATGCCAGCAACAAACCATCGCACGAAGATCCTTTCCTTTCTCTTACCGATTTAAGGGCTGTCCCCTCGTCTGTTTTGTGGTGGCGTGAGGGTTTCTAACCCAGGGCGGAAGGAGGAGCCTCAGGGGCCTCACAGATCTTTCTTGGGGCCTCTGTCAGCGCTGAGTTGCTCGGCTCAGCCTCTGAGCAGGGCACGTGGCAGCGGGGTGGAGGATTTGGGAACGCACCCTTCGCTCAAGGCAGGAGCTGAGGAAGATTTTTCCTTTCTGTTCTATTTCAAAGAACCTTTAAATTCCTTACATATTAGTATTTATTTATATGGCATCTCATAGGTTACCAGCTCAGTTCTGGAGATATTTATGTCCCTACATACTTGCCATGTGATGCAGTTGGGTGGTGGTTGGATTGAACACACGCAAACGAGCCTTGCAGGAGATGCTCCCCATGCTCCCACTGTGAGCAGGGAAGGCAATTAAGTGGTACCAGATGCTGCAAGAGCCTTTGGAAATGACACACCAGCTTTTAAGCACTTCCTTTTGATCTTATTAAGGTTTGTGAATTCCTTCCTTGAAAAAATTGAAAGCGTTCCTTGGAAAAAAAAAAAAAACAACCAACATCTCCTGAAGGTGTTGAGCACCACAACAGTGGCTGTGGCAGGAGAGGTGTCCTGCTGACATGGAACCACCAAGTCCTGAGGGTTGGAAAAGACCTTTAGGATGATGCTCTATCCCTGGCAGTGTCCCAGGCCAGGTTGGATGGGGCTTGGAGCAACCTGGGCTGGTGGAAGGTGTACCCTGCCCGTGGCAGGGGGTGGCACTGGATGGGCTTTCAGATCCCTTCCAACCCAAGCTGGTCTGTAATTCCCTGACAGGCAGCAGCAGCAGAGGTTCTTTGGAAGTTCCTGGTCAGACTGTCCCTCCTGTGGATTTTGAGCCCACTGGAGAACTCAGCTCCCAGGAGGTTTTGCTCCGGGAGGTCCAACCTGGCAGGAGCACCTTGGGCTCAGCAAGCAAGGCTGGGATTTCCCTGGGAAGTTGTCAGCAATGCTTGGGAAGCAGCCACTCCATGTTAAAAGGGAGTTTAACTGAGTGTTTGCAGGGTGAGGAGGTAGAGAGATATAATTATACTTGAAATGAGACATTAAATTCTACATTAAGTTATTCCCACCTTCACAGGTGTCTCCACCCTGTGTGCACAGAACATTCCAGCACAGTCCATGTGTCTGAAGGTATAGTCAGTGTCTGTTGGGTGAACGTGTTTGAAGGATAGAACCATGGAGTCATTAAGGTTGTAAAAGACCTCCAAGATCATTAAGTCCCACCTTTGTGTCTGCACAGGGGTGTCTGAAGGACCTCAGAGAGCAGGGGGTGCCTGAAATGAAGGGATGTGCTTTCAGGAATGCCTGCAGGCTCCATTTATGTACCCATTTCCTCTCCCTCAAGAGCTCTGGAATTCTTGACCAGACATGCAGAGCAGTGCCTTTTGCTGGGAGCAGCGTCACATCCCAGTCCTGGAGCCCTGGAATGCGCTCCTGTTTGCAGAGCTCAATATCTGTCATTCAGCAGCCCCAGAGCACATCTAAACAGGCCCTTTGAATTCCTGCACATTCCCTGGGAAGGGAAGCAAGCAGCTTCAATAATGTCCTCGATTGTGTGCTTGAAGTCATGATTTAAAAAAGAAAAAAAAAAAAAAAAAAAAAAAAAGGGGAGAATAAAAAAGCCTCTTGCCCTGTGCAGAGCCAGAAATGGCATTGTGTGGCAGGATGGGGCTCTGGGACTGCACAGCTTCCCAGGAGTGAAACCAGAGGTTTTCAGCCAAGGTCTCCAACGATGCCTGTTTCTAGGCAATGTAAAATTTCACATATTCCCTTCTTTTTTTAACGAAGTGCTGCTTTCTGTTGTCCTGTTTTCTTTAGGATTTAGAAGAAACACGGGGTTCAAATCCTGCTCATTTTAAGTTAAGTTGTAAGAGCCCAGTGACTGTCACCTGTGTGGCTAAATCAGCCATTCTGCTGGTGTAGCTCCTCTGCCAACTGGAGACTTCTCCCAGGTTGGGAGAGCTCCTGAGAAACAGCAGAGCTGGGCACAAGTCATTAAGTGGGAAAGATGCAGCCAACAAACTGGTGGGAGGCTGAGAAAACTCATTCATTATTTAATATCCTCAGCAAACAGACTGTAATTTACTTCCAGCAGCCTGCTCAAACAAAGCAATAAATTATCAGCTTGGAGAAGTTCATCTGGGAAGGTGCTGAGAGCTTTGGCCCTGGCTCTGCTGAGCCCTTGGGTTGGGAGGCAGCGAAGGAAGGGCAGGAGACCACCTTTGGCTGCTCTTGGCCAGCTTCAATCATTGTGCCTTTGCTGAAAATCTGGGTTTTTACTTTGCTAGATCTGGGTTTATTCTGAGAAAGGAAATTGGTCGTCCGTGCCGAGGTTGAGGGGGGTGACAACACCCGTGGTTACGTTCGAGAACATGACTTAGCAAAACCCAGCCCAGGTACAGGCTTAGAATTTGTGCTCATGGCTAAATAACTTCACAGGGTGATTACTGCACTGAAAACTAAGTTTAGTTGCTTCCCTGTGTATGAGATTTTAGATTTTTTTTCTGTGGGAGTGCCCAGAAGGACAAAGGCAGAACTAAAGTCTCGCCCTTGCCCCGCTGGGCGCTGAGATCCTAGAGCCTGCGCTCGTGCCCTGTGTGTGTTCCTGCTTTAAAGCTTCTCCTTGTCTCTCCTCCTGTGCAGGAAGACCCAGCACAGCTCTCTGGACCAGAGTTCCCCTCCCCAAAGCGGCGTGTCCGGCACCTACAACCACCCGGTCCTGGGGATGTACGACTCCAAAGACGACTTCCCGCTCCGCAAGACAGGTGGGCCCTCTCTCCTCTGCTGCCCTTCCCTGCCACGCTGGCTCCTCTGATCTCATCTGATTTGATTTTCCCCCAAAAAAAGCAGGAGATAGTTTATGTTCAGATTGCCCAGGTTAGCCCAGGGGCCTGGAGATTGAACCTGCTGGCTGCCAGACAAACTGAAGAAGGAATTGCTGCTTGTTGATCTGTTCCTCCTGGAGAGGCTGTATGGAAGCATGCAGACAATCCTGGAACCCCTTTGCTGTACAGAAATCATATCAAATGTTGGGTTTGTTGGTTTTTTGTTGTGTTTTTTTTTTCTTTTTTGACAAGTAACATGCAGCTTTGGCAAACCAGCTCCCATTTCCCTGCTGGTCAGAAATGGTGGTGGAAATGTGTAGGAACCAGCACGTGTGGATCAGCATTTTACCAGCTGCGTGTTGGAAATCACAGAAAACCACCCTTCTGGAAAGGTCACAGAGTTGTTAAGGCTGGAAAAGGCCTCCAAAATCATAGAGTCCAACCCTTTTGCCACTGCAAAACCACGTCCCCAGGCACCACATCCACGTGGTTCTTGGGCACTTCAAGGAGTGGTGACTCCACCTGTGCTGATGCCTGACCACCCTTTCCATGAGAGGTTTTCCCAGTATCCAGTCTAAACCTCCCCTGGTGCACCTTGAGGCCATTTCCTCTTGTCCTGTCACTTGTTCCCTGGACCTCTGGGGGTGATGCTTTTGCCTGTGTCCTTCCTGGAGGACTCCAAAAACTTGGATCTGCTGAAGGCAGGGCATCCTCCAGTCTCCGCTTCTGGGGGAGGAGAGACTTCCCGGGCTCCTCTGGGAAACCCCGGCATTTCCATGCAGGGAAGCATCCCTTGGCACCATCCCTGGGGGCAGCCTGATTCCAAGAGCTTCTTAGCTCTTCCCTGTGCCTCGTGAAAGCAGGTGATGCGTTCCTGGCCCGTTAATCATTCCCACGGCATGGATGGACTTTGCCACGCTCCGAAGCCTCCCTGGCTCATCCCCCCAGGGGAACTTCTCCTCCTGGGATTGAGGATGGGCCGCCCTTCTTGCTCCCAGGGCTCTGGAAGGAGGAGGAAAACATCTGCACATCTGCCCCTGGGCTGCTTCCCAGCCCGAGCTCTCCCTCAGACTCCTGCAGAATGAACCCCTGGCAGACAGGGGGAATTAAGGCTGATAAATGGATCTAATCACATTATTGGGAAAGGGAGGCGACCAAAGCCGTGGCTGTTTTCAAACAGGAAGATGCTGAGCTGATTTGGGCCTTGCAGAAGGCTGATGCTTGTTCTTTCTGGGCACCAGCATTAATCTTCTGGGATACAAATGAGTTCAGGGCAGAATTTGGGGATTTTTCCTTGTTTTCTTTTATTTTCCTTTCAACGCAACAGCACGTCAGGCTCTGGCACGGCGAGATCCTGCAGAATTCCCGGTGCCAAGAATGTTAAGTTGCTTGGAGAAGAAAGGCTCCTGAACAGTCTGGTGTAAACAAAAGGCAGGGAAGGCTGGAGCCCATCCTAAATAAAGTTCTTTATTGCTGGTGAGCTTTTCAGATTTTTGGCACCAGAAGCCCTGGCTTTGTGTTGGTAATTTAAAACCTCCGTGTCGCGGAGTCCAATTTTATTAAATTTGATTAAATATTTGCGGCTCAAATAACAGAATCCATCACAATAGAGTTCTGATTACCGGGGCTGGAGCCCAACCAGCATCATCCCCGGGGAGAGGGTAACTTAGGGGGCTGTGGGAAGGCAGTTTGAAGGAGTAGCTCTTGCAGGGTGCAAGTTGTAAAATTTTTAGGAAGAATAAATATTCCTCATCCCTTGAAGAGTCCCAGGCCAGGTTGGATGGGGCTTGGAGCAACCTGGGCTGGTGGAAGGTGTCCCTGCCCATGGCAGGGGTGGCACTGAATGGGCTTTAAGATCCCTTCCCAAATTCCATGAAATTCTGTGTGTCTCTACTCTCATTTAGAGCGTCCTGCTGTGATCAGAAGTTATGGCAGAGGGAGATGTGCAGGAATGGAGTCTCAGGAGTGCGTGGAAGCCTTTGGAATGGGATACCCTGCACACTTGCAGCGTGCTCCTGATGCATCCTGTGCCCTCAGATCCTCCTCCCTCTGATTTGCTTTCCTGAATTATGTTGCAGTTTCTTGGCTGTTCCGGTTTTTTTTGTTTTCCTGGTGCAGTTACTGATTGCCTGAATCCTGGGGATGCGTTTCACTCCTTCCCTCTCTCCAGATTCCCTGGGCTCTTCCTTGTACTGAACTGATCTAAGAACAGTTTGGTTGGTGCTGCTGGGAAATACCTGGGTTAGCACCAGGGTTTTTATTTCCCATTTTGGGGAGTCTCCTTTATTCTGGACAATGTTTTAGTGTCTGGGCTTTGTTGGGAGCTGTTGGGAGGGGAAAACTTAAGTGACCGTTTCAGCCCCCAGGTCAGTGTGGGGGCTTCCCAATTTAATCTCTTTCAGTGGGATCCTCTGAGGAAAATCTCTGGGGGACCCTTGCAGAGGAGTTTTAGAGGCTCTGGAAGCCTGTTTTGATAACCCCAAGAGCTGTTTGTCAACAGCTTTCTTGGAGCTGCTGAAGTGGTTTTGAACAGAGCTTTTCAGTTTTGCATTTCTAAGGAATTCTGTCCTCATTTTCTCCCTGGGAACAAGGTTGTTAAAGGCATTCCCTGCTTTCTGAAATTCGAGCAGTGGATGTATTAAAACACTCTGTTAATTAGAAAGCTGCCACCACCACCACCATGGAGATTTAAAGGGAATTATTTAACTTCTTAACATGCTTTTCCTCTTGGGTGGTTTTTTTGGTTGCTGTGGGTTTTTTCAGAATCCTTTGGAGAGTCACAGAATCCCAGGATGGTTTGGGTGGGAAGGGACCTCAAAGCCCATCCAGTCTCACCCCCTGCCACGGGCAGGGACACCTTCCACCAGCCCAGGCTGCTCCAAGCCCCGTCCAACCTGGCCTTGGACACTTCCAGGGATCCAGGGGCAGCCACAGCTTCTCTGGGCAGTGTCACCCCTCTGTGTGTCTCTACTGCTTGAACAAAAAGATAATTTCTCTCTATTCAAATTTTGGGTGTTGCAAAAGGCTGATTCCAGGCAGCATTTCTCCCTCTCCTGTGTTTTCTCTTGGAGTGACCTGGGTGTTAGAGGGGAGCCAAGAGAATTCTCTTGGGCTCTGCCTGGCTGGTGAGGCTTAGCAGGAAAATAATTAAAATATTAAAAATTATAATAATAAGAAGAACAACAGAGTACTATCCCTTCTCAGTCCCCAGCTGCCAAAAGGAAGCTGTCCAAGGACTGGGAGCAGGGCTTTCCTGGGGCACTGTTGGCTTTAATTCCATAACTGGGGGTGGGCAATGGACACAGGGCAAAGTCTGCCCAGGACTTGGTGGGTTTTTGCCTTCCATAGGTTCAATGTCTGATTAGTTGAGCGGCTTAAGGGCTGCAGTTCTAGGAAAAAAAACAATGGGAATGACATAAATGTTGGAAGAATTGGATTACATGGGTCCTGCTGCACTCAGTGACGTAGGAGAGGGGTAACTTGGGCTGGAGCCTGTGAAAACTAGGGAAGCTTTTTGGCTTATGTTCTGGTTATTAATTTCCTGGGAGGAAAACAGAATATTCTTTGTATAAATCCTTATTATAGGCCAAATTAAGGATGTCAGGGCTCCAGAAATCTCACTGGCTTTGTGGGAGCTGACTCACACTTGGGCATGGGCTTCATTTGTTTGCTGAAGGGGCTTTTTGATCAACTTCACCGCGTTTGTTTTAAAGATTTCGCTTCAAGATGTAGAGGACCAGGATTTTTTTTTTTTTTTGAACTGGAGTTGCATTATTTAATCTCCAGTTTTTTTAATTTGCTCCAGTTAGCAAGGCTTTGGTTGGGCATATTGGTGAATTGGGGGAGATTTCCAGTGGGATTGGTGCTCCTGAGGGAACACTGAACGTGCACTGACTGTCAGGAATTGATAGTTATGTGTTGCTTAAGTTCCTGTTTTATACTTGGGAAGGACGGCTCTCCTCATCTTCAAAACGTTTTTCTTATAAAATACTTTATTTAGCCATCTGAATAAGGTGAAATTCTTGCTTTGAGTTTTGGAGGCTTCATCTTTTATTGTAAAATAGGTTTTGTGTCAATTCTGTGAATTTGAGGCTGTTCTGTGCTGAATTTTAATTCACCTACTTTGGGCTCTAAGCACCCAATTAAATCCATGTAGGGATTATGCTCTCTGAGGTCTTGATGCCATGTTAGATTTGGGATTATATCTGAGGGATAAACAACAAAATCAGAGCAGTTCTTTAAATAGACCTTTTGGTGTTTCAAAACTTGATCCTCCAGCTGAGGAAGCGAAGGGGGGAAATACGGGATGATTTTGCCTTAAAATGGTTTAATCTGACGAATTCCAATACATTGCAGCTTATTCTGGAGGTGTTTTTTAAGGACGCAGTTTTCTATGTTCGTTCCTTTCTCGTTATATAAAAGGGTGTTTTTATTGTGGCTTTACATGGGGGCTTCACGTCTGTGACCCCAAATCTTTTGTTTCCCTGCCCATTTTTAAGGTGATTTTTAAGCCAACTCATTCTCTGAAAGCCACCCACTTAGTGGTGTGTTCCCATCCTTCAGCAGGGTATAAATGGGGTAAGGATAAAATTTTGGGCTGATACCCAGTTTTTTATTGACAGGTTTCCCTTTCTCCTTTGAACAGCTGTGGCGTGGATTCCATTGATTTCCAGTGGGTGTTTCAACACCCAGCTGGGACACCTTCCCATATCAGAGAATCCCCGGGTGGTTTGGGTTGGAAGGGACCTCTGAGATCATCTCATTGCAGCCTTGGTCAGAGCATCCTGACACTTGGGAATGCTCAGTCTTAGGGACAGATTAAAGCTGGGAATTGAAGGATGTGGGGGGACACCTGTACCCAAAGACTTTACTTTTAAGCTACCAAGTCAACTTGTGGTTTGAAGGGAACTTCCAGAAGGAGCCGTTTGGAGCCTGTGCTTGTATTTGAACTGGTCCACCCTTCCAATTTGCATGCAGCCATTTAATATGCAAATGCCCTCTGAGATGGTTCCCCCCCTTGCTAATGCACTTCATTCTGCATTGGAAGCATCAGCTCCAGGAGCCTGACACTCCTCTCAGTTCTCCCTTTATCTCTGGCTGGCGTTTTTCTGTCCAAAACATTCATGACAAGCTTTTTTTTTTTTTTTTTTTTTCCCTCCTAAAAATTCCATCAAAGAACTGTTTTTTGATGGCTTAACTTGAAGCATTTGATCTTGAATTCATCAGCCTTCTGGTTTTTTGAGCCCTGCAATTAACGTTGTCAGGCTTGATCTTCGAGGTGACCCAGTGGTCAAAGCCAACTGGAGGGAAATAGAGCTGCAGCCAGGCTTAGTTAATTCAAATCAGCCTGTAAGCCCTGTTTTAATTCTTCTAAAGAAATGGAGATTATTGGCCCTGGAGTGTGTTGGTTGTTAATGGTGTGAGTGCAGGATTTGCTGGTTCAAAGGGATTGTGTTGGGAGGTTGGGGAAGGGAAAAGATGGGGCCAGTTCCCACCTCTCAGAACTGTCAGGAACCCTCAAGCAGAGATTTCACTCGAGACTAGGGCAGATCTGGAGGTTTCCAGAGAAAATCATCTTGAGAAAATCATCTTGACTTGCTGCTGCATCACCCCTACAAAGGCCTGATAAGTGGATTGGCTGTTTCCAGCTGTCCTCAACCCAGAGCCATCAGGGCTTCCCAGGAGCTCTGGAAGAGATGGAATCTCAGGATTTGGGCACAGCAGAGGTTTGGAAGAGTCTCTGGAAAGCGTGGTGTCCACAAAGCAAGTCAGACTGTGGGCACAGGGAGCGCATCCACCCTTGGCAGCCCAGAACCCTCCAAGCATTTGATGTGGTTTTAGATCTGCCTTAACTTTGGGGCTGCGATGATGTAACCACGTTGCTCCCCAAACAAACAAACAAACCTTCTCCTCCCTGGTGCTGGCTTTCCTTGGCCACACTCTGAGGCCCTTTTCCTGGAGTGGACATTCCTCGAGGCTCCTGTGACTCCAGGCTGAGTCACTTCAGGGGGTTGAAGCAGCAGGAAACACTCCCCTGGTTTGGTCGTGGGGTTCCATTTTGGTGTTTGGTGTCCTCTTCCCCTGGTGCCCCTCCCTCCCCCTGGGGTGGGATGCCTCTGAGGGTGTGGAGCTGCCCATTCCAGCAGCACATCAGAGACAGATCTCAGCCCACGGGGATGCTCCACGCTGACCAGCAGCAGCATCCCCGTCGTCTCACCCATTCCTCTGCTGATGATGCCTTGGATAAGTCAGGTTTGCTGCTGGGCTGGGAGCGAGTCAGGCAGAGCTGGGAAACTGGGAGATGGGCATGATGCTCTCTGCACTAACCCCAGCAAGTTCTCAGCAGTTTGTAGGAGGAGGCTTTGCAGGACATTTATTATATTTTTAACTCCAATGCCGTTGCCTTTCCTTGTCAGTGAATTCAGGTGTCAGAGAGGCTGGGACCCGTTTATTGTATGAAAAGGTCTGTGTTTCAAAAACATGTTATGGGGTGACTGATTTAACTGAACCTCCTGCAAATGCTCAACTGCAACCCACTGCAGCCAGGTCAGCTCAGCTCAGCTCAGCTCAGCTCAGCTCAGCTCAGCTCATCTGCAAGCTGAGTAAAAAACTGCTGAAATAATCATAACCAAATCATAACCACTGTTTCCTTTCTCCTTTTCCCTCTTGCTGGCCAGCCTCTGAGCCCAACCTGAAGCTGAGGTCCAGGCTAAAGCAGAAGGTGGCCGAGAGGAGGAGCAGCCCCCTCCTGCGCAGGAAGGACGGGCCGGTGGTGACAGCGCTGAAGAAGCGCCCGCTGGACGTCACAGGTACGGCGGGCGAGGCACACGGGGCACCCCCTTCCCAAAGATCTCCCTTCCCAAAACGAGCTCCTGAGCCTGGCAATGGGTCTTTTATGTATTTTGACTCCTGTTTGGCAGTTTCCTGTCGAAAAATCATGTTCTTCTGGGAGTGAAGTTGGTAAGGAGGGCTCAGAGCAAAGGGGATGATAACACAGATATTTACCATAAAGTTAATTCTTAGCACCATCTAGGGATGTCTCGGGGTAAGTACCACCAAGTGACAGCTTTTCCAGACTCGTCTCTCTCAAAGGCACATGATCATCGTTCAGAGGAGCTCAGAATTAGCTCCCTTTGGAGAACGGGGTGGGTTTGGGACACGCTGGGCACTTCCTCGTGTCAGAGCCTCTCTGCCTGCAGAGGGAGGAGGTGATTTCAAGAGCTGAGAGTCATGGAATATCCAGAGTTGGAAGGGACCCACAGGGATCATCCCGTCCAGCTCCTGGGATGGTCCAGTCCTCCTGCACAGAACCATCCACAACAGTCTCACCATGTCCTTGAGAACACTGTCCAAACACTCCTTGAGCTCTGGCAGCCTTTCAGAGGTGAAAATCAAGTGTCTGTCACTCATATATTGCTATTTGGCACGTGGCTTTTAGGATGAAGCAGCCTCTCCTGGCTGACCATTTCTCCCAGTTATGCCTTCAGAAATGGCAGTGGGAGCCCCCCTTTCTCACTGATACAGAGCTGGCTCGAGAAGCTGCTCTGGAGTTTTTGTGGGAAAAGGGGATTTTTAAATGGAAAATAACTTCTTTAAGAAGTTCCACTTCAGGGACCAGAAATGATGTTTAATCCCTGAAGGATACAGGGGATTCTGGTGGGACACCTTCCACCAGCCCAGGTTGCTCCAACCCGGAATGGGACACTTCCAGGGATCCAGGGGCAACCACAGCTTCTCTGGGCAACCTGTGCCAGGGCCTGCCCACCCTCCCAGGGAGGAATTCCTTCCCAATATCCCATCTAACCCTGCCCTCTGGCAGTAGGAAGCCATTCCCTGTGTCCTGTCACTCCAGGCCCTTGTAATAATTAGATTTGATTTCTCCTGGGCCATCCTGGAGCAGTGAGGAACCTGCTGCAGCCTGAACCACTGCTGGGAGGTTCTCCTGCCCCTGGGCAAATCCTGTGCTCGGGGACGAGGAAAGTTCAGAAGAAAAGGGTTTAATGTTACTAAACTTCCCAAATAGAAGGAGAAACACTGGCAGCTGTGCCATGAACCAGGTGAGAGACCCTCTGAGGGAAGTCTGAGGAGTCCTCAGGGTCAGAGGGGAAAGAGGGGGAGAAAAGCTCTTCTAGAAAAATGAAGCAGAACAAATCCAACATCCTCCAGTTTGACCTCTTCAAGCCTTACATGTCTTTTATTATCTTTCACTCATATTTTAAGTTATTAATACACTACAAGGGAAATCCCCACGGGGAGAAGTCGTAAATATGGTAAGTAGGTCCTTGGACAAACCATTTGAAAGTGTTGGTATTTTAAGAGCCTTGGGAATATTTGGGGGGAAGATGGGGAGGAGGAGGAGGGGTTGCTTTCCTCCACAACAGAGCTTGGGGGGTTGTTATCTGGCTAAATACCATCCCAGAGATTGCTTGGAATGTTCAGAGTTGCTTTTGGATGTGTTTTTCAGACTCTGCATGCAACAGTGCTCCTGGATCTGGTCCCAGCTCTCCGAACAACAGCTCCAACAACATCAGCACCGAGAACGGGATTGCGGGATCGGTCACGAGTATCCCGGCAGAGGTACAGAGCCCTTCCCCCCCTGCCTCTTCCCCCTTGGGCTGCTGAGCAGGCCTTGCAGAGTTTCAGGAGTTTAGGCTTAGGGAACCACACGAAAGGAAAAGCCCAGCTGGTGGCTCGGAGCAGCCTTTGGGAATTACCCCCAGCCTGGGCTGACGGGCCGTGTTATCTGCCTATGAAATCTGGGTTGAAGCAGCTTGTGGTGACTTGTAGTGCTTTTGCAGTGAGGAGAGAGTAAAAATAAAGTGGTTTAGCAAGGTCAAATGCAAGTATTTCAGTGTTTGGGGGATTTATTCCTGTGCTGGGGGTGGGTTTGTTGTGTGCAGTAGGTTGGTCTAAGCGTGACCAAACCAGAGCTGGATTGAAGGGCTTTGACCAGCTGGGCACTTGAAAACTCGGGGGCTGTTACCATGTGCCAGTTTATAACCCCATCAACTTTCACCATCACTCGAGGCATCTGCTGTGGATGTCCAGGGCAGGTTGGGCCGGGTCGGCTGGGCTTGGATTCCTCCTGGCAGCTCCTGTTTTTTAGGGATTCCGGAGCGCAGCTTTTCCCGGGGTGTGGGCCACGATAACTGGCTCCCACCGTTCCCTTGCAAGTCGAAAACCAGGGTGGTTGTCTGATGTTACTGGGGCATTTCTTTTTATCCAGCTTCCCATTAGCTGTCTTCCCCATGAATATAGACTCTGTCTTAACATCAGGGCTCTCAGAACAGGCTTGGGCTTGTTCTCCACGAGTATTCCCTTAGAACTGAAAAGGGCTTCTCATGGTGTAAATGTCAGCCCTTATTGCTTTCTAGTCTTGGGCAGATTTGCACTTTATTTTTATTTCTAATGTAGTGTAACAGTATTTAAGATGGGGAATATGCCTCCTCCTGCAGCCTCTCCCCTGCCAAATTACCCAGCACACGTTCCAAGTCCACAGGAGACCTTCTAGACTCAAATAATTGTTGTAAAGATTAAGGTGGGGAGGGTGGAGGCTTCTCTTGCCCCGGGAAGATGAGCAATGAGTTACTGATTTTGCTGCTCCAGGAGTTGTCAATCCTGTGTATCCTTGGCCAACTGGAAATGCCCAATTATTGCTGCTGGAAGAACTAGTGGATTTGACAGTTTCTGTGATATGGGCAGAGCAGGAAGCTTCCCCCAAATCCCTTCCAAGCCAGACCCTTCCCTGAGCTCCTGCAGGGCAATGCGAGCCTGTAGCACTCCCCTTATCCACTTAATTTGTCAGCTGAATACCTGGAGCTAATCATCTGGGACCAGACCACTGATTCCTCACCAAATGGACACAAAGGAAAACTCTCTCCATCAACCGCTTCTAATGCAGTCATTTTGGAATTTGGGCTGAGGCATGAGCAACATAGATGATTTGGAAAAAAAAAACCCTGTCCTGCCAAAACCTTTCCCTTTCCCAAATTAAAATAACTGCACTTTGTGCCAGCATTCCATGTTGTGTGATCCCAGCTGATCCATTGGCCTGTATTGTTTCATTTGGGAAAAAATATGGGGGGTTTAAAATCTTTAAAATCTTCCTCAAGTAGAAGTTGTATGACCTGGGAGCTGGAGATTTCTTTAAAGTCAGTTGACCAGGATCCCCCACCGTTACATATTTACACGGATTTGGAAGTATTTCAGTGTTTCTGAAAAGATAATGTTGCCAACTCGATGTTTTACTCTCAGCTTTGTGTTTTGCATTCAATGAGAAACGGATCTTGTTGCTTCTCAGTTTATTATGTCGCCATTTGAACCAGTTCAGATGTGTTGGAAGGTGGTGTCCAGGTTCATTATTTAGGTTTCAGTGCTTGCCTTCAGTGGGGAATGGCTGGAGCTCTGCCTCCTTTCAAACAGACACGCTCTATTTTTAAATACTGATTTAAAGGTTTTTCTATCTCTGAAAGGCACTGGAGATTCGTTGCCTTTGCAGTTGGTACAAGACTATAAAAAGGACTCGACTGCAGCTGAAAATTGTCCCTGCAGAAATTGTTGTGTGCAATTCCAGCCTGTTTGTGCAGCCCAGAGATGGGATCTGGGTGTTTGAAGTGCTGATAACGCTGCCAAATAACATGTGCTGAGAGCATCAAGCTGCTGTCTTCTTCTCCCTGCTGTTTTCATCCCAAACCCCCGGGGGATAGTTTGAGGCACAACTCCAGAGTATTGATTGCTCAAAGAGAAAATGGATGTAGTTTTGTTTCATTTGCCGTCTCAGGAAAATATTTCATTCCTCTGCTGACAATAACTGTCTTATTTTCCATGTGGAGCACTAACACTGTGTGATTTAAATTAAAGCAAAATTGCTGGTGGTGCTCAGAATCACTTGGAAGGAGAAGTGTGTAGGTACAAACAGTCACATGGAAGGTCAGGTTTAGATCCGAGATTAAAAAAGAGGGTTTTTATGAGGCTGTTAAAAAACTGGCACAGGGTGCCCAGAGAAGCTGTGGCCGCCCCTGGATCCCTGGAAGTGTCCAAGGCCAGGTTGGCTGACACTTGGAGCGACCTGGGATGGTGGGAGGGACCTTAGAGATCATCTATTCCACCCCTGCTGTGGGCAGGGACACCTTCCACCAGCTCAGGTTGCTCCAAGCCCCGTCCAGCCTGGCCTGGGACACTCCCAGGGATGTGGCAGCCACAGCTTAGGTAAAGATTGTCCCATAGCAGAACATCAAGTTAATCAAAAATCGCCTTTTTCACAACAGCACCTGTGTTTTACCGGTAGAAATTCTATAGCGAGTCTTGTTGAAGTCTAAATTCTGTTTAAGTTGGAAAATCACCTGCAGAGAATTCAGGGTGATCTCAGAACAGTTGTTTCCTAACAGGAAAATCGGGCAGTTTATTGTCATTTTCATAATGGGTTTTCTAGGGCGTATTTGGAAATTAAAGGTCTTTTTACTAAAGTGTTCTTGCTTTAAGTGCCCAGAAGATAACTCAGGAAATCTTGCATTTCAGCCTGAAAATCAGGAAATAGCTGCATAAGTGCAACCTTAAGGCTTTTGGGTGAGGTTTTGAAGCCTGATTTACGCACACCAGTTAATAACAGAAATTGCCTGTTATTTGCTAAAGAGAACAACAGCAATTGTAAGGCCTTTTTTCTCTTTTTAAGATAATCTGTTTTAGCTTTAAAATGAGCTTGAGAAGGGCAGGTGCCAAGGGAACAGCTGGAGCTGTGGGTTTGGGGTGGCTGGTGGGAAAAGGTTCCTCCCCCAGAGGGTGGCTGGCACCGCACGGGCTCCCAGGGCAGCGTCCAGAGCTCCAGGAGCGTTTGGACAGTGCCCTCAGGGACAGGGTGGGATTGCTGGGGGTCCTTCCCGGGGCGTCTGACCAGGACCTTGTTGTTGTTGTTCTGTTCCCAGCCCAGCCTGGCCCACAGGCTCGTGAACCGCGAGGGCTCCGTGACACAGCTCCCGCTCTACACCTCTCCTTCCCTGCCCAACATCACGCTAGGCCTGCCTGCCACCGGCCCTTCCAGCGTAAGTGGGGTTGGGAGGAGCCTCTGGAGGGGCCCTCGTGCCGATTCCTCCCTTAACTCCCCCCTTCTCCTCGCAGGCGGGCTCGGCGCAGCAGGACGCGGAGAGGCTGGCCATCCCAGCCCTGCAGCAGCGCATCTCCCTGTTCCCTGGAACTCACCTCACCCCCTACCTGAGCACTACAACGTTGGAAAGGGATGGGGGAACCGCACATAACCCTCTCCTGCAACACATGGTCTTACTGGAACAGCCGACTGCACAAACTCCCCTCGTCACAGGTGAGAGCGCTCGGACACGGCTGGGAAACAGGGAAGCGCCAGGAATCTGGGGGGTTCTTGGGAAGGCAGCCTGCAGATACCACATCATCTGTGCAGCTGGAACGCTGAACCTTGGGGATGTGTTTGCTGATCCGTTTGGATAGCGGGGACGGGACTTTTCCCAAGTCTGAGGTTTCCCACCTCATCCTGAGGGAGGGGGAAGCTGCCTCGTCGTTTTGGTGAGGTGAAAATAAATGGTATTATTCCATAAAAAGTAAAAACTGAGAACTCTCTAGCTGGAGAGTTCCAACCACTGCAGATTGAAGCGGGGGCAAGTTGTGCCTTAGGATCCCTGTTTTCCACGGGTGGTTCCTGTTCTGTGTGGGAAGGGCACAAATTCCGGGTTAAAATGCTTCCTTCTCATCATTAATATAAATAGCAAATCCACGGCACAATCAGCTGCCTTCCAGCAGATTGCATTTGTTTGGGTACGTCCCATTCTTGGGATTGAATTGCCGTGAGTCACTCCCGGGGTGGGATTTTCGGGATGAGGTACCTGTGAGAAGGCGTTCCCATAAATGGGCTCGATTCCAAGCAGTAATTCGCGGTGGGATGTGCTCCTGGTGTACGGCAGGTAACAGTGGGACAGAGGACGTCCTGCCAGCGTTACTGACGTGTTCATTTGGATTCCTTCCCCTCCGTTGCCACTGGAGGTTGTTGGGAAGCGTGGATCGTGGGGGCTCATTCTGCATCCCGATCCCGGGGCTATAAGTGGGGTTGTGACGAGCTGGGGATGGTGTCAGTTTGGGGAGCTGTGGGGTTTGCCTCCCTCCCTTTGCAGCGCTCGCTTCCGAGCGTGTTCCCGCTGGCCCGCGGCGTTTGCCGAGCGAGCACAGCGTGTTCCAAAGCCGCGCTGGGGAGGGAGAGTCACCACACAGCACAGCCTCCAGGAGGAACACGCGGTCCAGAGGCAGCAGCTGCGAGACACGGAGCTCACACGTGCTCCCCAAAGCCCTGAGGCTGCCAAGCTGCACTTGGGACTGGCACATTCCTTGGCAGCAGGGGGGTGGTTATTGGGATTCTGCTGATGGCCTTCGGCTCTGGAGGAAAACTCCTGTCAGCTGCAAAATTCAAGACCAGGTTGGCCAGGGCTTGGAGAAGCCTGGTCTAGTGGAAGGTGTCTTTAAGATCCCTCCCATCCCAAACCACTCCAGGAGTCTGTGAACGAGGTTTCTCCTTGGAAAGCTTTTCCAGGGACCTTGGTCATTCCCTTGGAGGAAGCTGGTATTCCAGAATACCCTGTGCAATCTCTGCTGTCTAACTGGAACTTTTGGGAGGAGGAGCTGCGCTCTGAGGGAAAAGGAGCACACCTCTCCCAGTGATCCCTGTATCCATACCCAGATTAGTGTGGGTACACACTGACATTTGTAGAGACATGCATTTATAAAATCAAATACACAGGAATCTTTTCAGAAGAGCAAAGAGTGGGGGAAACTCCTTAAACCTTCCCCCAGGAAAAGAGGCTTTTTCATGAGTCAGATCCTTGCACGTAGGGCAGTTCTGAGAATCAGTGGGAAAAGGTCACATCCCAGGGCAGGAATGCCAAGGTGTTCCTGATCCATGGCACTGAGCTGGCTGCAGACTCCTGGGCAGCTTCTTTTCTAAAGCAGAGCCTGAAGGAAGCTGAGGGATTCTTTCCCAAGAGTGGGAGCAGCCTTACCCCCGTGGGCGAGGCAGCAGTTCCCAAGTTCCCGGTGATGGCTTTCTATCCCAAGGTGTAACCAGCAGGAGGGAAGGTGTATCCTCAGCTCCTCCACCCTCGGGTTGGGCTCCCTGCTGGGCTGTCTTAAGAAGAGTGGGAAGGTGTGTTTTCAGAGAGCACAGCTAAGAAGACAATCCCTAAAGACGTGCCCTTCCCAGAGCTGGGATGGACATTTCACGGGGGGGGGGTCATCAGTGACACCCAGATTGCCAAAGGTGGATGAGTGACTCCAGTTATCCCAAAACCTTTGGTTTGCCTGGAGTTACTGGCATGTATGCACAGGACAGTGGTGGAAACAATTCTAGCTATTTGTCATCTTTCTTCCTGTGAAAATAATGAAGCCTGACAGCTCTTGTATTCCCCAAATGCTCCTTTTCCCAGCACAGACCTGCTCAGGGGGTTATCACATGGATAAGTTTTCATCCCTGCTCATTTCCATGGTGTGGACTAGAGCACAGCCAAGGGCAGCCATGCCTTCCTTGATCATCATCCATCACCCTTCAGTGTATCCAGGGATAACTGCTGGATGCAGTGGGGTGCCAGCCTGGCTTGGGCCTGGGATTACTGCCTAAACCAAGCCGTGGGATTTAAACTTCAGACTGTGGAAGGGTCTGTGAGATGTTGCTGGTTTTAGGAAATGAGGTGTTTCCATGGGGTCTCTGAGCAACCAAGCAAAGAACCCCAGCCAGCCAAAGCCTTTCTCCCCGCAGTGTTTGTCAATCAATGAATTAATTACCTGCTCCCTTTCGAGGCCGCTCCAGCTGTAAGTGGTGGCGGAGGTTTAACGTGATACGTCGTTACTCAACAGCCGTTTTCTCCCTTCCTTTCCTCCTTCCTTTTGTTTCTCCTCTGCTGTTTTTTCCTCTGTATTATCTTCAGACTGGTATCTTTCAGGACTGCCCCTCCACGCACAGCCCCTGGTTGGAGGCGAGCGGGTCTCCCCTTCCATCCACAAACTGCGGCAGCACCGCCCGCTGGGGCGCACCCAGTCCGCGCCCCTGCCCCAGAACGCCCAGGCCCTGCAGCAGTTGGTCATCCAGCAGCAGCACCAGCAGTTCTTGGAGAAACACAAACAGCAATTCCAGCAGCAGCAGCTGCACATCAACAAGGTAAGGATGGATGTTTTTGATGGCATTTCTTCCCCCTCGCGCGGCGCCAGGAAGGACCGCGCAGTTTCGGGGTCTGGTGCTGTTCGACCTCCTGCTTTCAGCCCGGGAGCTCTTGGAGGCATCACAACACCAGGAAATACTTGTGAGTGAAGTTACGCAGATTTACTGAAAGGCTGAGAGACCTAGAGGGGCTCACCTGGAGAAGGGAAGGCTCCAGGGAGAATTTAGAGGCGCTTCCAATGTCTAAAGGGGCGCCGAGAGAGACTGGGGACAAGGGATGGAGGGATAAGACAAGAGGGAATGGCTTCCACTGCCAGAAGGCAGGGATAGATGGGATATTGGGAAGGAGTTCCTGGCTGTGAGGGTATAGGTTGCCCAGAGAAGCTGTGGCTGCCCCTGGATCCCTGGAAGTGTCCAAGGCCAGGTTGGACGGGGCTTGGAGCAGCCTGGGCTGGTGGAAGGCGTCCCTGCCCGTGGCAGGGCGTTGGAACTTTGAGGTCCTTCCCAACCCAAACCATTCTGTGATTTGCTCTGTTGTGAGGCTTTCTAAGCACTCCTCTCGAGGAGCCCCATGCTGGCTTTCCTTAGGAAACCAGCAATTCCAGGAGCAGGTTTGAGGCTGGGGAGGACAAGCCCGTGGGATCGCTGCGCTTTCGTTTACCGAGCGGCTTTCTCCAAATGTTTTCACCGTTCCAGCCCTGTGAGAGAACACAACTACCAAGAGCTGGATTCCAACAGGAGAGAAGCCCCCCAGCCCGTTGTTTATGGGCTGGAGCCGGGGCAGGACGATTACACAAGGCTCTGACGTCAATGCTGTACTTCTGGAGCGCTGCCACCGCGTGCTGGGGGTGCCAGGCCTGGCCCTGGCTCAGCCCCTCACACGGGGAGCTGCTGCTGCCCTAGAAACCCCCTCACCCCCCTCCTGACACCTCTCCAGGCCCGGGGTCACGGGATGGGGGGCGCTGGCTTGGGATTCTTTGTGCAGGAATAAGTGTCAGCTCCACGCTTTGAGGGTTTTCGAGGCTCTTCCCAAGCCCTGGGCGTGACGTAACCCCTGAGCTCACCCAGGCTTTGTCTCGGACCTCCCAGGAGCCCTGAATTCCAGCTCTGTCGGAGCTGGGATCTGTGGCATCTCTGCAGCAAAAGCAGGCAGAGGGGGGGGTTAATTAAACTGATGGCAGAGGGGCCGCTTCCCTGGGTTTGATTTATAGAAGGAATGAGTTAAAATCACTTCAGTGCTAACGCTGTGTGCGTGTGGCGAATTTATCCTGTGGGATATTATCCAAGTGCTGACATGGAAAAAGACTTTTCCCAGATGCAGGGATATTTTAAGACCCTCATGTGTAGGAGAGTTAAGGGCACGACTAAAAATAAAATAATAGGTTATTTAATTTTTAACAGAACTGATTGCATTAATTTATTTATTTCCTGATTTCCCATAAATAATACAAGGCTCTTCTCAGTTCCACGTGATTTTTCCCAAACTTTGAGGTTTTGGCCTTAGCTGCCTACAGCAGATGAAGTTTTTGAGGAGATTTGCAGCCAAAACAAGTCTTGCTGTTTCCCAGAAGGCAACTAAGGAGAAATATGTTGATTTACTTAAAATTATTAATAATAATCAACATGGGGATCTGGCTGTGAAACCTTGACGTCTGAGGCTTTGGAGCAGTGACTTGGACAAATGAGGACAGGGAAGGAGGGGGCAGAGGGATGGGACAGAAGGAGGGACAAGGCTCCATGGGGTGACTGGAGGGGACCTGAGGATCCCTTCCCATGTGGGGTCCAAAGTCCCTGCTCTGCCCCTGTCAGGAGCAGGTTGGGGATCACCTGGGTGTAAGCAAATGTGGTTCATCCCACTGAAAGCTGACCTGCTGAGAGTCATTGCTCTGCTCAGAGCAAGGATCTGTCTGGAAAATGAGGGTCCCAGCCCTGCTCCTCTTGTTGTCACCCCGGGGGTGACATTTGCTTTAAGGAGAGGATAAACTCACTCACACCAAACCCCCGTGGAACACCCCAAAAATGGGGACAGGAGAGACAGGAGTGAATGAAAAGAGCATTGCTGAAGTTGCCAGTTGATGTTTGAGACATTAAATGAGATTCTGGATAAGATACTGAATCAGTTCTTGCTCAAATAATTATCCCAGAGAAGCTGTGGCTGCCCCATCCCTGGAAGTGTCCAAGGCCAGGGTGGGAAGGGCAGCCTGGGATAGTGGGGGGTGTCTGTGCTCGTGGCAGGGGGTGGAACTGCATAAGCTTTAAGGTCCTTCCCCCCAAAACCATTCTGGCATTCCATGATCCCGATTGACCTTAATAATTCCCACCTTTTTGCATGGTTAGTGTTCAAACCTAGAGGAACCTAAACCAGGGGAGGTTTTAGGATTGATATTGGGGAAAATTTCTTCCCTGGAAGGCTGGTCAGGCCCTGGCAGAGGCTGCCCAGGGCAGTGGGGACTCCTGTCCCCATCCCTGGAGGTGTGGACGTGGACAGAAGTCAGACCACCCTCTCTCCACGAGGTTTGGACTCTTGGATGTGTCTGACAGGTGAAATGGGCTTTAGGTGTTGTTGTCAGGTGATCTCCGAGCTTCTGCTCCCCCCAGAGAGCCCTGGATGAGCTGTGTGGGAATGGGATGGTTTACCCTCAGCTTCTGAGGTGTGTGGGGTTGTTTTCAGCTCCCAGCCTGTACCTGTTGAGCTTTCAGGTCTCTCCCAACCCAGACCATCCTGTGAGTCTGGGTTTTTTTTTTTTTTATTTTTTTTTTTTTGGTGGGGGATTCTCCATCAGACTTTGGTGAGCAACTGGATGTTTCTAACCTGTTCAGTAGCACCTTCCAAGTCTTCAGAGTCCCCCTGCAAAGAAGGAATAAATGTGGATCATTGGGCACAGTGATACTCAGTCAAAAGTTGCACTCAATCATCCTGGAGGTCTTTCCCAACCTTAACAATTCTGTCATTCTGTTTCTCATATTTAGCAGACAAAGCTAATGACAGCTGAAATTTTAACAGCCAAAAAATGCAGCTTTTTTTTTTTTTTTTTTTTTTTTTTACCTGTCACGAAGAATTCCACAGAACAAGGAAGAATTCTTTGCTTTTCCTTGTATTTGTGACCTGCCATTGCTGTGCTTTTTTAAACGTTTCTGGGGATTTTTTTTGTATTTCGAAGATGTAGGGAAGAAATCTCACCAGCTGCCTGGAGCCTTTCAGAAACGCTTGTGAGCAGAGATACTTCATTTGTTCTGTAGGGAACTCGTTGCCTGCCCAAGACTGGAGGGGCAGTGTCTTTAACAGGGTTTGTGGTGGCAGTAGGTGACAGCCAGAGGCCAACTGGGTACGAACAGAGAGGAGTAACCTCATTGCAGAGGAAGCCAGAGAGCTAATTAAGGGATGGAGGAGTTATTTATGGTGCATTGTGGTCACTATTTCAGATATATTTAGGAGCATTCTCAAAGCCCCCCCGTATATTCAGCCCCTTGCGCTTTTGTTACCTTAAATTTTAAATTGCATAAAAACTTGCACAAATGGAAGATTTTTAGGGAGTTTTAGCAGGCCTGGGATGCAGATGCTCGTGTTTTATATGGAATGTGTTCATAACAATGTTTTCTCTGCAAAATTGGGTTGCAATTCTCTTCAAAACAGGGTTGCAGAGGCTCGAACCGGTGACAGACCAAGAGATTTCCCTTTGCATTAGGAGAGCAAAGGGAATGCTTGAAGTGTCCTTGGCATGGGCCACTTGATCTTTCAACCTTCATTGTGGTTTTCATTCAATTCTTCCATTTTCAAGGAGTAGGAATAATTTAAAACTTCTCGGGAATGACACTGCCTCTTGTTCCCGTTAGCTGTGACAGTGACACTGTGAGTTCTTTTCCCAGCAATTACCTTCTGCAGTTCAGAAGTTCAGAAGGTATTAAGTTCAAAGCTTGAGACCTCCGATCCAAGCAGGGGGAAAAAAAAAACAAAAAAACAAAAACAAAAAAAACCAAGCAGCAGATGGTTTGTGGTGATTTAATTAACTTTAAAAGGGATTATATTCATCAAGCCTAAGAGAGCTTAAAGAAAATGGATGGAAGAACCTTTAGCTTAACATGGTTTATTCAGTGTGTAATATAAGGAATGAGACTGGGAGGGCAGGGGGGGAACTTCCCAAAAATCCTTGGGAGGGTTGGATCACTGAGTGCAATGTCCCTGATCCAGTGCCTGACAACCTTTCCCTGGAGAAATGCTCCCCATGTCCAATCTAAATGTGCCCTGGCACAGCTTGAGGCCGTTCCCTCTTGTGCTGTCAGGTGGGAGAAGAGCCCAATCCCCACCTGGTTCCACCCTCCTGTCCGAGCTGTGAGGACTCACCTTGGTCTGTCCACGTCATTTGGCGTTTAAGCTCCTGACCAACTCCAGATCCACATCAGGACACACAGCTCCATGCATTCCTGCCCCTCTTCCTTGCTTGACTTACATGACAGAGCCTTTCTTCCTAAATTTGGGGGGGAGAAAAAGGCTTAGTTTCAGATTTGAGCCACTGCCCTTCAAAGAGCAAGTAACTCCTCCTGCATGTGTTCAATAACCAGGTTTTGATTTAGCTTTATTAGATTTAAAATCAATATTGCCTTCCATCCCAATGACCTAATCCTCATTAAACCTTGCCCTGACAGCTTTCAAAGTGCAGCAGTTTCTTTATGAGCCTGTGAAACGGGGGCAGCCTGAGAGAGAGGAAATGGATTGGTTTTCCTATGCCAGAGTTAGAAACAGGTCATGTTTTGGGGTTGTGTTTTTTGGGTTTTTTTTTATTCCAAATAAAAATTACAAGCAGTCTGAGGTGGAGAACTGTGAATTTTATCTTGCCAATGAACTTACAAAGAGTCTGAGTGAATTACAGTGAAAATTAAATTGTTCCTTTTGGTTTAGGAGCTGCTTTTGGAGATGTTTGCTGTGTCTAGTTAGGAAGGTCTGGTTAGAACCAGGGGTTTGCTCTAAGCTGAGCGCCCTGAGCTTCCTCGTAACCAGCTCCATGACAGTGCAAGTTCTCCAGGAATCTTTATTCCGGCCTTGCAGATAAAATTCAGGGAGCGATTCAAGGTGACGTTGAGCAAACAAGGCAGCAAAAACCCTCTTAGAGGGGTTTGTGTCTCTTGCATTCTTTCAGAATTTAATTGCCAAACATCCTGACGGTTGTTATGAGTGGATGTGAATAATGGAGTGGGCACAAGAGGCTCTTATTTCTTCAGAGGGAAAACTGAGTGGAAAACAAGGGGGTGTCATTACCTGAGACACGGGATTTCAGAGCTCTTAATGCCAAGGCTGCCCTGACCTTTCCCTGGAGCGCCCGTTTCGTGAGGCAAAGGCCACAATTCGCAATTGCTCTTTTCAGGAGGCTGGGGAACGGGGTGAACTTTACGTGGGACGAGTCTGAGAGTTCCTGGGTGGGTCTGTGTGCTTTCAGATCATATCCAAGCCCAACGAGCCCGCTCGGCAGCACGAGAGCCACCCCGAGGAGACGGAGGAGGAGCTGCGGGAGCACCAGGCCCTGCTGGAGGAGCCCTACGGGGACCGTGCCACCGGCCAGAAGGAGGCCCCGGCGCTGGCCAGCGTGGTGCAGGTGAAGCAGGAACCCATCGAGAGCGACGAGGAGGAGGCAGAGCCTCAGCAGGAGCTGGAGCCCGGGCAGAGACAGGCCGAGCAGGAGCTGCTCTTCCGTCAGGTGAGCGCCCCCAGCACCACGGTGGCACTTGGGCTCCTTGTCTTGGGTCTCGGCTCAGAGGGGGAGGATGTAAGGGGAGCCAGCTCGTGGCTGTGTATAGAGTCTGTGTGATTCCTTCCCTGGAGTCAGCTCACGAGTCCCCAGGGAGGAGAATCTGGGTGATCTGGAATGCACAGCGTGTTTACGGCCACTGAGTCACTTCTAGGGTCGTTTCTTCGGGAAGGCAAAGTGTGTCTTAACATTTCTGAGCTGCTTCTGGTAGAAATGGAATCCTACTAGCAGAGGATTTTCTTTTGGTTTTATGTTTTAAAGCAAATTGGAGAAGGCCTGGGTAAAAGAGCAGGGGATGAGGTGCAATGGAGGGTGTTCCGTCTGCAGAATTAGAGATCCTGGAGCCTCCAGCCAGGATCCCTTTTCAGGGCAAGCACCGGAGGCCTGTGGGTTGCAGGTGATAAATCTGATCACAAGGTACCAGAGCTGATCCATGCCCCCCCAGAAATGTCACTGGGGTGTTGCTCAGACTCTGCATTTGCCCAGAGAAGCTGTGGCTGCCCCTGGATCCCTGGAAGTGTCCCAGGCCAGGTTGGACGGGACTTGGGGCAGCCTGGGCTGGTGGAAGGTGTCCCTGTCCATGGCAGGGGGTGGCACTGGAGGAGCTTTAAGGTCCTTCCAATCCAAACTGTTCTGGGATTCTGTAATTGCTAACGATGGACCACAGTGATCCCATTCCTCTGAAAGTGCAGCCTTAATCCTAAATCCATGCCTGGCTCGTCTCTTAGAAACTCCCATCTTCATTTGCTGCATGCAAGGGAAAGGGGTCCAAGCCTCCAAACCTTCAAAATCCTATAAGACCCTTTTATTTAGGAAGGCCCTTTCAGCAGCTCCCTGCTTCTCTTCCCCACAGCAAGCCCTTCTCCTGGAGCAGCAGCGGATCCACCAGCTGAGGAACTACCAGGCGTCGCTGGAGGCAGCTGGGATGCCCGTGTCCTTCGGGGGACACCGGCCCCTGTCCCGGGCACAGTCCTCTCCAGCCTCAGCCACCTTCCCAATGTCCGTGCAGGAGCCCCCCACTAAGCCAAGGTTCACTACAGGTGAGGCTCTGGGGGCTGCGTGGGCTGTGGGTCTGGTTGGCCTCAGGCTGGGCTTTGTTTGCAAGGGCATGGAGGGGCAGGACAGGAGGGAATGTCTTTACACTGAGAGGAGGGTTAAATGGGGTGTTAGGAAGGAATTGTTCCCTGGCAGGCCCTGGCACAGGTTGGGCAGAGAAGCTGGGGCTGCCCCTGGATCCCTGGAAGTGTCCAAGGCCAGGTTGGAGCAACCTGGGATAGTGGGAGGTGTCCCTGCAGATGGCAGGGATTGGAACTGGATGATCTGAAAGGTCCCTTCCAACCCACACCACTCTGGAATTTTATGATTCAAGATTAAAAACAGAGAATAATTCTCCCTGCATCCTGACAAACATCTTTCCCCCCCGCCAAATCCTTCCTGTCTCTTCAGTGCCCTTAGCAACAGCTGAAAGGGAATTTTCTGTGCAACTCTCCCAGCCCTGTGTTGGGTGATGAGGGATATTTTGGAGTCCGCCTTTTCCCCCAAATGTCACAGGCTCTATTTTGTGAATGAACAGTTTGCAACGTGCTGAGTGCCTTGGGAAAAGGGAAGGAGGGGAATAAATCCCAGAACATCCAAATGGGAGCGACTCGTGATTTTGTTTGCCTTCCCCTCATGCCTTTATTCCGTTTTTAACCCACACTTCTTGCATCACCCGGTGCTGTGAATCGGGTTTATTTTCAGGCCCTGGTGGTGTAGTAATAGATGATGTTCAGGATGACTTTTTCCTCAGCTGCAGGGTGGGAGGTGTGTGCTGTCAGCCCTGGAAAAACCCAAGGAATGGCTCATTTTGGTGAATCGGCCCTTTAATCTCTATTTGTTGTTAACACTGAACCTTTGAATTGCAGCAGAACTGCATTCCCAGTTCTGCCCAGGCGAAGAGATCTTGGCTTTTGCCAGGGATGCAACAAGTAGTCCCCTGGCTCAGGGTCAGAGCACGTGAAACTTGAGCTTCTAACCCACTTAACCCCAAACCTTGGAGCTTTAAAAACGAGGAAGCCTGGCCCTGCTTGAAGAGATTATTCACTGCCTCCAAACCTCATTTCAAAGCACAGGTTAACAGGAAGAATGCAGATGTGAGGCCTGGGCTGCTTGGAAAAGGTGCTGTTCCAGTGTTGGGATTCCTTTTCCTTGGAGGCAGGGTTTAAAACAATAAAGAAAAGCTCGAATATCCCATTGCTTTTATGTAGTGGGATGATGCAAAGGATGCTTAGCGTGATTCACCTGTAAAATGCCCTTTTCATGGCATTTATCCAGGTTGAGACTCCAAGGGCTTAATTTTTCCAGTGCTTTCCATCTCTGCATTTGTATGGAGGAGGGAAAACACAATAAAACACTGTCCAGGGGGGAAGTGTTGGGCGTTCCCTGGCTCTGAGAAAGGTGAGAAGCATAAAGATGAGACCTCTGTACCAGCCCTGTAACTGTGGTCCCTCATGAAAGGTGAGGGACTGGTTTAATGATCTGTCACTGCTTAAGGTTGGATTCAGTGAGGGCTTTTTTAACCTCGTTGATTCTGGGATTCTGTAACAGAGGCAGGGAGAAAGAGCCCAATGCTACAGGCGTGGAAGGAGGGAGAAGGAGAGGAGAGGAATTTCAGCTGCTTGAGCACATGTGTGAGTGAAGTTGCCTCTTGTTTTCCTGGAGTTGTCCACGGTGTGTCGGAGAGCGTGGGCTTGGAGGTGGCTGCTGAAGCTTAATCACTGGGATTGAGCCACTCTTTGAAAGGCAGGAAATTAAAGTCTTGGGTGTTTTTCAAAGTGCTCAAGTGCATCAGGCTGCTTTTTCCCTAGGAAAATCCATCTGGTTGGTAAGTGGCTGCTTTGGAGACTGATCCTAACGGGATTATGTGCTTTGGATGGCAGAGGAATGAGGGCTGGAGTTGGTGTGATCATGTGGGGAGAGGGCTGGAAGAACCAAACCTCATTAATGGCTCTAATTAAGCCAACCAGCATCACTCTGCACACCACTGTGGCTCTTAAGAGATCAATTACTGTCCAGCAGGCAAAGGAATTGCTCATCCCTTTCATGTTTGGGATATTATATAGAAATAATACAGTAATCTAAAGTTTTCTCTGAACAGAGTCACTCCAGACAGCTGGAAACTTGGGGGGTTGGGATATTTTATTTTCTGTCTCTCTCAGTGACAACACCTGAGACTTCAAAGGTACAGGGGAAAGAACCCATAATACAGCCCTCAAACATGATGTCCATTACTCCACATCAAAGTGAAAGCTGTGCCCTTCCTGACTCCTCTGAGCAATCAGTTTGATGTCCCAGAGCATGACATTTAATTTTCCTTCCTCCCAGAAAGCCAGTCCTTGAACTTGCCCTCTCCAGATCAGCCAGCCCCGTGACTTTAATGAATCCTTGTGCCTGCCCTGTTCTACACACTTGAATAAGGATCCTCAGGTTGGGCCGTTAATTTGCATAGCTCCAATTATCCACTCTCTGATCTCCTGTAAAAATGGGTCCACAAATTATTCTGATGTTCTGCATTAAAGGGTTTTTCCTTTCTAATGGAGGCATTTATTCTCTCCTGTGCAGAGCAATATAATTATCTGAACCTCAAATCATATGTTTGTTCTGCCAAGGAAAGCCAGTTGGTTTTGCTTTAGTGCTGACCTTTAAAAATGATTGTTCTTGTGTCTGAACAGTCTCGCTTCCAGCACCACTTAATTTAACTTGCAACGGCCGATGGAGTTTTGTATTTTAAACTTAAATTGCCAAGATTACCTTAGTGTGTGTGTGTTCAGCTGAGTGTCCCCAGCCACAGGGAGGAATTGGGAACAGCTCCTGTCTTTCCAGTGGTTGGTTTCTAGGAAAGAGGAATGCTGAGTGATGTGTGATTAGAGCGAGGAGAGCTTCACGGAGACACTGCTGTTGTCATGGAACCCTTGGGAAAGGACAAACTGTTGATCCACCAAATACTGTGAAGGCCTGGTTTGCGGTGGGATAGAATCCCAGAATGGTTTGGGTTGAGTGGGACCTTAAAGCTCATCCCATCCCACCCCCTGCCACAGGCAGGGACACCTTCCACCAGCCCAGGCTGCTCCAAGCCCCGTCCAACCTGGCCTTGGACACTGCCAGGGATCCAGGGGCAGCCACAGATGCAGATACTCCATGAAAGCTCTGCCAGGGCCTCCCCACCCTCCCAGGGAAGAATTCCTGCCCAATATCCCATCTAAAAATCTCTTTAAGACCTTGCAGTGGTTTAGATAAACTCAGACTGGGGTGAAAGCTTCTCCTCAGGTGAATTCAGGGCTGGCCTTGGCCCAGCAGCTGGTTGGGGTGTTTGATGCTGTGGATCAAACATAGGAGACCTCAACAGAGCTTTGCAGCAACACCTTCTTTCTTCAGTGGCCTTTGGCTGACCCAGAGCCAGCCAATCCCCCAGGGCTCTGTTCTTTCCCTGGAATTGAACCTGGGTTGTGTTTTGTGGGCTGTTTTTTTCCCTTTGCTCCCCTCACCTCCAGCAGAGCGAGGAGCTGCCAGGCCCCTGCCCTGAGGCTGGATACCAGCAAGTGTCAGGGTTTGCTCAGGGGGAGAAGCCAAATTCTTCAGTGGCAGAACATGCCCACACTCAGTCAGGAGGTGGGATTGCAGCTGGAGCCAAGCTTGGGAATGTGCAGGAGCGTTGGGAACGTGCAGGAGCAGGACCCTCAGCTCCGGGCTGCGTGTCTGGGGCTGTTCTCTGGGTCGGGTTCCTCACAAGCCCCTTTGAACTCCCCGTGCTTGCCAACGGTGCTGTTTCTCCAGCCTTGAGCTGGGAAGGGGGAAGCCAGTGTAGGTGTGCTCCTCTGGGATTTCCCAGCAGGGATACCAGCCAAAGCACACCCTGCAACACCTGGATCCGGGACCAGCTCCTGCCTTTGCTGCCTTTAGAGGCTTTGGGTTCCCAAGACTTGATTTCACAGAAATCCTAGAAAACCCCGGATGGGAAGGGACCTGAAAGCCCATCTGGTTTTTACTCCCTGCCCGGGTTGCTCCAACCTGGCCTTGGACACTTCCAGGGATCCAGGGGCAGCCACAGCTTCTCTGGAAAAATACATTCCAGTGCCTCACCATCCTCACAGGAAAGGTTCCTTCCCAATATCCCATCTAATCTCTGGCAGTGGGAAGCCATTCCCCCTTGTCCTGTCCCTCCATCCCTTGTCCCCAGTCCCTCTCCGGTTCTCCTGGAGCCCCTTTAGGCTCTGGAAGGGGCTCTCAGGTCTCCCTGGAGGCTTTCCCAGCTCTTCCAGCCTGACTCCAGAGCAGGGGGGGTCCAGCCCTCGGATCAACTTTATCCTGTACTTTCAGACAGGTATTTCTTGCAAGAAACCTTATTCTTTGGGGCAAAAAAACCCCAAACCTACCCCTTTTATTCTGTTCTCTGGACCTTCTGGCTGAAGGGAAGGGTGGACTTAAAGCTTTGACTGCGTGTCTCTTTTGCTTGAGAGAAAAAAATGACAGGTCATTTGTCCCTGGGGCGTGGCTGGGGAGGACCTGCTGTTTTCCTCCAGCAGAACGCTGGCTTTGGAATCTCAGCTCTCCTTCCAAAACCGGACCCAGGCAACTGTGGAGCGTGAATCAAAGTTGTCGTGCCATAAATCCTTGGGAACGCGAGGGGATTTAGCTGCCTGACTCCCTCATTGAGATGAAACAACACTGCTAAATCCTTCATATCGTGCTGAATAACGACGCCCAAGTGGGTGCTAATGGCCTTAATTAGCATGTTGTCAAATAACGGTGATGCAGCGACTCCAGCACGAGCTGTTCTATGAAACATGGGCCTGCCAACCACTCACTCCTTCTGCTTTCCAGTCCCAAGCCCTGGAGTCATTTTAGCAGCGAGTCCCTCCTCTCCTAAAATGCGGTTGCTTGGCTGGCAGAGGTGATGCTTTGGGGTGCCAGCTCCTGTCACTCCCAAGCCTCCAGGTGCTGGTGCTGGTTCCTTTGCCGCATCCACTGAGGATTCCTAGAACAAGGCACGGTTGCAGGTTTGATGCACCTTGGATGTTCACTCCTTGGAGCTCCATGGCTTGGAGCCCAACGCCCAGCTTTGCTCTAGAGCTGTCGCGTGGATATAAAGTACAAAACGCGCTTTATTCCCCCTCCCGAAATCTGGCAAATTTGGGTTTGTTTGTTTTTTCTTTTAACTGAGATCCATTTTGGCCCCTCTGTCCCAGGCCTTGTGTATGACACCTTGATGCTGAAGCACCAGTGTACCTGTGGAAACACCAACAGCCACCCCGAGCACGCGGGCAGGATCCAGAGCATCTGGTCCAGGCTGCAGGAGACGGGGCTGCGGGGCAAGTGTGAGGTAGGAAAAGCACGGGAAAACGCAGCAAAGGGGGCTGTGGGGGGGTTAGCTGTTAGAATCATTATTATATTATCATTATGTAACTATATTAATATATGCTATATAATATGTGACATATTGATATCGGTATTGTTAATGACTATTCATTAATATATGCCATACAATACATATTATATTAATTATATTAATATTGATATTATGAATTCCTATTAATTAATATGAATTATATTGCTATATTATATGTGATACTTAAAATATTTACAGGACAATGTAATGAATAGAATCTATATTATATATGAGGTGTAGAATATATAAATATATTACTTTTATTATTAAATTATAATACCATGTTTAATGATGTATAATACCTTGTACAGTGTATTATATAATGATATCAATATTTTAGTTTTTATTAATTAATATTAAATAACTTTTATATATGCGATATAAAATATATGATGTGTAGTGTATATATAAAATATATGTTGTATATGAGAAATCCATTCCAGTTCCTCACCACCCCTACATGGAAGAATTGAGTATATAAATATATTGATAAGATTATTGTATTATTATATGCATTTATTATTAAATTACATTGTATGTTATTATTATAACCATTATGTAATTATATTAATATATTAATATATGCTATATAACATATAGCATATAAATTAAGTTTATATTATTGATATTATTATTTACTATCATTAATATTAACTATATTAATATATTATATGTGAAATTTTAAATATATACAGTATATTGTATAAATATATTTATTATAATATACAGACTATATTATATATGAAATATCATATAAAATATATATTATTTTTTATTATTTAATTATATTATCGATATGCTATATAATACATTGTACAATGTATTATGTAATTATATTAATATCCTTAATTATTATTAATTATTTATATTTCCATCTTAAATATTATATATAAAATATACTATGTAAAGTGTTATAAATATAACAGAATATATAGAATATATTCGATATGAAATATAACATTATATATCAATTATTACTGTTATTGCTTCCTAGTTGACATAGCAGTGCAGATAACTAGGGCTGTAGGTGTGCATTCATCAGTCCCCAACCCCTGCGGGGCCGGAGCCCGCAGGATAAACATTTGCAGCAGCAGCAGCAGCAGCAGCTGTGGGAACTGTGGAGCCATCGGCTCAGCTTCCACGCGGTGGCAGCATTGCCTCTGCCTGCGTTCCCCTGGCCCCACTCGCTCATCCCTTTCCAACCTGTTTCTGTCCGTGGATTTTCTGCCCCTTTAACTGAATTTGGGGATTATTTGGGAACAAAAAACCCGCGAAGCCGAGTGCCCCCTGCTGTCCTGCTGCAGGAGCTCGCCGTGACCAGCAGTGCTGGTCACTGAGATGGGTGTTAGATATTCTCTGATGGACAAATTCCTCACTGTACAATCTGTTATTGGCCTTAATTTCCTGATAATTTCCTTTAGTAAGAATTTTTTCCCTTGATTTTCCCGCTTAATTTGGTACTTCTGGTTGCTTTTGGAGCTGCTGTTGATGTTCCCCCGCTTTCCAGCTGGGTTTCCCTTCTGACCATTGCTGATGTTCAGCCTCACCCTTTCAGACTCTTCTGACAGTTCAGACTCTTCCTTTTCCCAAAAATGAGAAGTACTTGATAATGAGGTTCCTGCCTTAATTCCCTACTGGTTTTCTCCAGAGTCTGCCCTGACATTTCAGGATCCATTTCCTTGACTCTCTGGCTACCTTTGCTTTATCCCCACCATCTCCTGCCCACGCCTGTCTGAAAGTTTCCTTCTTTATCATAACTTTTCTCTTGGGCTTGATGGGCACAACCTTTCCCTGTTTCTCCAGCTCCTTCCCACCTCCACAATTCCCTCAAATGAAAAAGGCAGGCCAGGTTGGACAGGGCTTGGAGCGGGCTGGTGCAGTGGAAGGTGTCCCTGCCTGGCTGGTGGAACAAGATGAGTTTTAAGGTCTCTTCCCACGCCAGCCACTCTGGGATTCCATGATTTTGTGGTTTACTCCATTTCTTACGACTCGTATTTGTAAAAGGACAGTTGGAACTTTGATGTTTCCTCATCCTGACATTTCCCTTTCCTTCCTGAACAGCCCTTTGCTGTGGGCAGGGGGGTGGTTTGATGCTGTTGGTTGCGAGGAGTTGCTCAACACAGATGAAAACCACAGGAGCCTGCGTAGTAACTAATGATTTACACACTGTGGAGGATCAAACAAGACTCCGCTGGGTTCCTGTCCTCTTCCAGAAGGAGTTTTACGGCTCATTTCCCGCACGGCGAAACCCCCACTCTGCTCTCTCATCCAGCGGTTCTGGGTGCCTGTCCCCTGGAATGTCCCCGTGGTGTTTCTGTCCCACACCTGCCCCGAGCCGAAGGTCTCACAGATAAATATTTACGGCAGTCACGCAAACAAGTGTGGGCTTTGAAATTGCAGATACACAGACTGAGGGAAAGCCTGTCTCCATCAGGCAGCTGAGAGGCTCCCAAACACCCCTGCCGAGAGCTGAGATCCTGCCACCGTTTCTCGTGGGTCCCTTCCAGCTCAGGGTGTTCTGTGATCCCTCTCAGAGTCAAGAGAAGCGATCCAGAGGGGGCACAAATCAGAAACATCCCAGGATCCCAGAATGGTTTGGCTTGGAAGGGACCTTAAAGCTCCTCTCGTTCTGGGTTCCACCTGAGGGATGAGTAGATTCGCTGCGGTGCCTCCAGCCCAACCCGCCCCCTCCTGCGAGAAAACAACTTGGAAACAGATTGAACCTTGAGGGATTTCCAACGGGAGTTTTGGAGCAGAAAGGTTGTAACCGACCCTTGATTGCTCAAAGGTTCACTTTGGAAATCGTGTTTGGGAGAAATTTTTAGGTTAATAATCCTGACGGAGATGTTGGAGGGTGGTTTGGAGGGACATTTTCACCAGAGAATCATTTTCTAGTGGCTTATAAATCCTGAATATTCATTAACCAAGCAGTACCTTTGTTGTTTAGCAAACGCTCTTTTAAAAACAGAAATTAATTTGTATGCCCAGCTGGTGTTTTGAGTAAGAGATGAAACCAAAATCTGAGTTTTTCTGGGTAAGAACCCATTTCAGTGTTTGGCTCTCCGTCTTTATGATTTGCTGAGGAAAAAGAAAAGCGCTTCAGTGAGAGTTAAGCAGCTCCTCAGTGATTTCCTCACCCTTTTCCTTGCTCTTGCAGTGCATCCGTGGAAGGAAAGCGACTCTGGAAGAGCTGCAGACGGTTCACTCGGAAGCCCACACGCTGCTCTACGGCACAAACCCTCTGAACAGGCAGAAACTGGACAGCAAGAAGCTTCTAGGTATCATTCCCTGCGGGAAAATTCCCCTTCCTGACCCCTGGCACTCACACTGCAATCCTCATCCCTGGCTTAGCAGCGGGAAGGGCGGGATGTTGGGGCTCCCTCCGTCCTTAGCCCTGTGCAGCTCCCAAGAGGATTGTTCCCACCTCCGTGTACTGGATACACCTCCCTCTTTTCAGGTAGATCCCTAAAAAGCTAAAACTCCCTCTCTTTGATGTCTTCGGAACTTGAAAGGAGGTTTCTCTGAGGAGGGAAGATAATTCAGACAGTTTATTTTATCCTGTGTGTTAGGAAGTTATCCATGGCTCGGGAGGAACTGGAATACCCTCCTGAGGATGTGGATCTGCAGCCCCAACCAGCTGCACAGGCATCAACAAATAGCTGTGAGGTTTGTGTAGATAATCTGCAAGAGAGATGCAGGGGCCTCTTAGCCTTAGATTTGTTTTAATTTGGACTAATATTGTTTATCCCTTTCTCTGGAGTCTGGATCTTCCTGAATCAGACCCTCAGCTGTTGGGAAATATAGATTTTTTTTTTTTTTTTCCCCAGCAATAATCCTAAGGGATTGATGTTGAGATAACCAAGCCCCCCAGGCACCAAACCAGGTGGATTTTAGCACCTCAGCTCCCTGTAGACACCATCACCCCCCTTTCCCTGGGGCCTGTTTGCAGCCCCTGTTTGCAGGTGAGAGGCTGGAGGGGCAATTTGGGAACCTCTCACGTGGGGACCAGCAAAAAAAAAAAAGACATTTCTGGGACCTTGACATTGAGGAAGTTTATTTTGGGATTAGCCTGGCTTTGGATGATATAAAAAGAGGATTAACTCCATGACCTGCATGATGTCACAGCAAAGGAGCTGGAAAGATTTTTGCTCAGTGTGCTCAGTGTGTCCATGAGATCCCCAAAGAGAGAAACCATTGACCAGTTGATTAAACAGGCAATTAGCACTGTCTTTATAGCTCACTTCCCACCTCTTTAAACCCAGAGAACCCAAAAGTAGACCCCTCCAGCTGAATGATGGCTCAGTTAGTGTGTAACCTTTGAAGGATTTCTGGGGTGGTATCCTTGGGAGTGGCAAACCATCAGTCCAAAGGAACGGTGTGTAAGTCTTCCTTGGTAGGTCCAGGAAGAACCTCTTGAGATACTTTTCCACTCTGTGAAGCTTTGCACGGTCTGTATCAGTGGTTCCACAGTTTGTTTGGATAGTGCTGGATTTGGGGACGCTCCCAGTTGCTGAATCATTCCTTAGAGAACCCAAGAGAGGAGCAACTCCTGCTCTGCCTGGGAGCCCTCCTGTAGCTCTGCTCTGTGTGCCCCGTGGCTTTAACCCCTCATTTTAAAATGTCTGTGGAGATCAGATTTATTCCTGTAGTGAAAGGAAATCATTCCAGCACCCGAGGGCATTCCAGAACAAAATGTTGTCTCTTTGGGTGCAAAGAACACCGAGTTGTCAAAGAACTGAGGGAGATCCCCAAGGATTTCCTGTAGGAAGGGCTGTCCAATAGCTCTGAGCTGAGCTTAAACCTGGTCTCCTAAACCCACTTGGCACCCTTTTAGCCTTGAGCCGCTGTCAGTGGGACTGGCTGCCAGCTTGCATGGCCATCTTTTTTCTTTCCTTTTTGGATTCCACAGGGATGGACCTGAGCAGGGATAACAGGGAAAACCTGGGAGTGTGGAGGTGAACGCTCCGTACCAGCCCCTCCCTCAGCCATCCTGTCCTGCTGAGAGCTTAAAAGGCTTTGAAATGTCCAAACCAGCTCTGTGGGGCTCTTTTAAACACACTGGAGGGTAGATTAGGGCAGGTTTGAAGGCTGAGAGCAAAGCTCTGTGTGAGTCTGAAGTGTGCAAATGGGGTCTGTTAGAGCTCAGTGCCTTGGCACGTGTGGGGTGACTCTGTAAACTCGGGGCCTTTGATATGTCTGGGAGGAAGAAAAAAGCACGAGAAGCCTCAGCCTGAAAGGGAGGAGCTTGGGAAGCTGGGGGATGGAAACACGGGATGGTTCTTGTTACGCTTCTGCAGATGATCAGGGGGAAGTGCCTTCATGGAATCAGAGAGTCCCAGGATGGTTTGGGTTGGAGGGACCTTTAAAGAGCATCTCATTCCACGCCCTGCCGTGGGCAGGGGCACCTTCCACTAGACCAGGCTTCTCCAAGCCCTGTCCAACCTGGCCTTGGACACTGCCAGCTTCTCTGGGCAGCCTGTGCCAGGCCCTCACCACCCTCCCAGGGAAGGATTTAATCCTAATATCCCACCTAACCTACTCCCTTCCAGTTTAAAACCATTTTCCCCTCACAGTCAAGGATACAAAATACAAACCCATCTCTCCTTTGACAGTGGAAGGACTTGGAACCTCTTGGACAAGCTGAAACTTGGGCAAATCGAGCTGGTTTTAATTTGTGGGGAGCGATCAGAAATTGTTGTCAAGAAGATAAATATCAAAATAACGGGTGGTTTAGCAGTGAAAGATGTGACAGCAGGTCCGAGGCAGGATGATCTAAGGACTTCCACGTGGATCTAATCAGACAGTGCATCTCCCTTTGAGCTCAGCTAATCCAGATGCATTAACTCCTCTTTCAGTCGTAGCATCCCAGGCCGGTTTGGCTTGGAAGGGACCTTAAAGCTCATCCCATTCCACTCCCTGCCATGGGCAGGGACACCTCCTGCTAGCCCAGGTTGCTCCAAGCCCTGTCAGGAGGATAATTTGCTCACACAGAAGCCCAGAAAGTGATGTTACATTTCTTACAGATCCAGAATTAGCCCTGCAGAGGCTTTTCTCCATTTTCCTCCAGTTCTTCCTGTTGCTTTTGCTCTTCCAGACAAAACACATGTTTTTTCTTTGCTTGCCACTGGTTTGTTTTTTTTTTTCTTCCTCTTTTATGAAGCCCCTGCTCTCCAAAGCCGTGTAGTAACTGCAGATGGGTGATAATTGGGGTGTTTTTATGATTTCCTGTCCTCCGCCAGTTGAAAGGGATCAGAGTGTTCATCCCAGCAGATTGTTGGTGGCATCTCAGTCATTTACAGTCAGTGGCACTGCTGGAAACGTCAGACAGCACCCAAACCTGGCATAAAAATGAGTGATTTATAGAAGCCTTTCCTTCTGGGGAGGCTTTTGAACGAGCCCGAGTACATTGTATGTGTGTATGAGCTGAGAAATTAAAGAACAACCCCCTCCCCAGTCTGTGTTGCTGTGTTTGCCATCAGATGGGCCCCAGACCTGGTGAACTTTGCCTCACAGGGTCCCTTTTTGTGTCCCTGCAGGTTCTCTAACGTCGATGTTTGTCAGGCTGCCTTGCGGTGGTGTCGGGGTGAGTGACTCTCTTCCATGTGTAAATAATGTCCTGTTTGTTCTCCCAGTGCCCTCAGCACCAAAAAAAAATTGTTGCTTTGCATTCCAGCAAGTGGGTAATTGCAACCAGATGCTGCCCATAAACAGGGGCTGTGGGGCTGCTCAGCCTCACGTGCCTTTCTTCAAAAGCAGCAGGAAGATTTTTCAGCTATTTTGGAGAGTCCAAGTGTGTGGGACGTTCAGAGGCTTGTTTGGGCTCTGGTTTTTAGGAGGAAAAACCTCATTTCCCAGGCAGGGACGTTTAAATGGCTTTGGGGTTGCTCCCCTTGCATCCCAAAATGCCTTTTCCATGGAAAGCAAGATGTGTTTGTGCTGTGTAGGTGTTTCATCTTCAGTCCTCGGACTTCAGAGCTGCCTCCACAGCAGGTGGAAAACGGGGGTAATAAAATAGTGATTATCCAAGGACAGGATTTAGGAAGTTCCTGTAAATAGTAAGTTTGTCCTTGAACTGAAATGTCCCACAGGTTGCGCAGCACAAGGGATTTGTCTTCAGTATTTGGCATCTTTTATCCCCCAGCTCCAGAAAAACCCACGGGGATTCTGAAGGAGGTGACTGAAACAGCCCTCCATCCCTCCTGGAAAAGCTGAACATCACTTTTCAGCTGTCAGATTTCCACATAATAAGACTTTTTGTTGTTGTTTGTTCCCATGAAACAAACAAACAAAAAAAACCCCAGACCCTAAATACCTTGTTTTGAAGGTTTTCTTGTTTTCCTTTGAAGCCTGAAAACTTAAAATTTGTTTCCCTTTCAAGTCAGACTTTCTGCCCCAGAGTTTCTGTGGAGGGTGACAGGACAGAAAATCGTGGAGAACAGGAAGGGGAAAAGAATGAGAGGAGACAATAAAAGGCATTGTGTTTGAAAATTCGCAGTGGTAGTTCTGCTGCATAATTGTAGCTCGTGAGGTTGAGTTTTCAAGGTCTGGATTCTGTTATGGAAATGAAACAAAATTGTTTTCTTCCTGAGCCTTTGCAAAATCGCTGCTTTGAAAATTATCCCGTCAAAAAAAAAAAAAAAAAAAAAAAAAAAAAGAGGAGAATAATCGCCGTTCCTTCATCCCGCCACTCGAGGAGAGATTTTATTTTGTATTGTAAATATGCTGCAGCCTCCTAATTCATGGCAAATTTTTGGCTGGAGCTTTAAAGGCTTGGATTTACTCTGCCCTGCAGTCAGGCATGCCATTCAAAGCAAAAAAAAAAAAAATAAAAAAATTATCATTTGCAAATGAAGGCTGAATGGTAAGGAGGGGAGGCAGAGCCCGGGCCCAGCACGGGCCCACAAGTCTGGCACTGAATCCAAAAGCAGGGCAGGAAACGCTGCAGAGCTGGGATTGTTGATGTGCTCCCGCTGCAGAGAGGGCTTGCACTTCACTTGCTGCTTGCTTGTCTCCACAGCCCCTTAAATATTAAATATTTACTGATATTTATAGCATTGTCGCAGTTTTAACAGGAAAACCTGGGCCAGAGCCTCACGGGGAGGAATTCCTTCCCGATATCCCATCTAACCCTCTGGCAGTTTGAAGCCATTCCCTGTGTCCTGTCCCTCCATCCCTTGTCCCCAGTCCCTCTCCAGCTCTCCTGGAGCCCCTTAAACCTTGGAGGTGTCACTGGAGCCTTCTCTTCTCCAGGTGAACCCCCCCAGCGTTCCCACTTTTCCTGATGGTGAAGGACCATCAGGCACACGTGATGATCAGAGGAATCATTTTCACTCCCAGTGGTTTGTGGCCCAAGCTTGAATGAGAAGAGATTTATTTCAGCTTAGATTTCAGTTCTCTGATGTAGACTGTGTTTATCTCCAAGGGGCAGAGGGACACTCCACGAGGCGCTGCACTCAGCTCCCCACGGCTTTCCAGCTGCCTTCCCCAGAGAGCTCCAACCTGGTGTGCCAAATACTTCCCAGGAGCCCATAATACCATAAAGTGAAAAGGAAAGACAGGAAAAAGTAGAATAAGGTGGGACAGGCCCTCTTCTGCGTTTGTACCGGAGCAGGTGATTCCTGTTGCTTGTACTTCAGGAGCTGAGGGTGGCACGTGAAATACTGGACTGGAAAGCTGGAAACCAGGAGGTTCTTCTTCAAGCAGTTCTCTTCTCTAGGAGATGCTGTGTAGATGAAAAGAATGGATGGGTCTGAAGGGTGATGTGGGGCACTGTAGGTGGGGAACCCCATGAAGAGCTGTTTTGCTTCAGGATGGAGGATGAATCCTGGTGCTTGGGCAGCCAGGAGTTGTCAGCAGTGAGCAAGACAAAGGACATTCAAGGGAGCGAATATCCTGAATATCCTGAGTTGGAAAGCACCCATCAGGACCATCCTGTCCAACCTCTGGCCCTGGCTAGGACACCCTACCAGTCCCACCCTGTGCCTGGAGCGTTGTCCAAGCTCTCCTTGAGCTCTTGAACTGAAGCAGCAGGAAAACAGTTTGGAGCAAATCTCTTCACCTCATAACCCCTTCTGATCTCTCTCTTTGAAAACTAAGTCTCAGTGTCTTGAAATCAATGAGAAAAAGGGGTCAGTTTGATCTCAGGTGGTTGGAAACTCTTTCTCCTCCTTGGTTTATCCCAAGAAACCTTCCCGTGGCCGTAGCTGGCACCGACAGCCATGGCAGGGGAGGAAGAAAGCACAGAAGCACTTGCAGCAACAGATGTGGGCTCTGATTGAAGCAGCAGTAATTTATTTCTGCTGATCTTCAGCAGCATCTGCAAGTGCAGCACAGGGTGGTTTTGCTCATCTCCACTTCTCTGTGTCTGACTTAGCTGCTCCACGGCGTTACCTAATCCAGGCTAATTAGAAGATGATTTCGGAGACAGGAGTTGAAGCTTTGAAAGTCTGCAGAACCATTCCCATCCAGATTCTTCCAATCACCCAAAGGCTTGATCTTAGGTTAGCTAATAAGTGTGTTTTCTTTTCTGTGCAGTATTTTTCTGCACATTTTCTAAAAGCGTCCAAAGATAAGGTTCTTTAAAGGGTGTTCTTCGTGTTGTTCTCCAGAATGTGTGACTCTATTTTTGGCTGTAAAGTCTTGATTAGAGCGTGTCAAAACCTTTACCTGTGCAAACAAAGGAGTTCTGGCAGAGCAGAGACCTCAAAAAGGACTTCCATGGAATGGAAATGAGGAGAAACTAATTAGCAAGTCGGAGGAGACACCGTTGGGTGCTGCTGTCGCCTCAGCTCCATGAGGGAAGAGCAGAACTGCTTCACTTTGCAGGGTCTGGAGCTGTGGCACAACCTGTCCCTGCACTTAATTTCTTCTCTGTGTAGCTCTTCAGTTAAAGGAAATAGTAGAATAATGAAACCTTTTTTAAGGTGCTCATTTAATTCTGAAATAGCTGCACTTGAGCAGAGTTCACTGTGTGAGTAGGAGCCTCATCATGGATATTAATAAAACCCAGAGCTTTTATTAAAGGGAGGGAGTTCCTATAAGGAAATTGTAATTTTTATTATGAGGAAGGGAGGTTTCACCCTGAAACATCTTGGACATTCTTTCCAGAACAGAGACCGGATCGAGCTGTTGACCTTCCTCTTTGGCATCCCCTCCTCACATAATGTGAAGGGGACGAGCCTGCAGCAGATCCCAGGAGCTGAATTCCCTCTCCCCATCTCTAGGAGCCCTCTCTGGGTGCTCTCCTGGCAAATTCTTCGTTAGAATGATCAAGGCATGAATTTCCCCTCAAGATGAGCAGCACAAGGGCTCCTCATCCCACCGAGGCCAGTGTGGGAGAGTCGGTGCCTGCCACAGTTGTGTCCCACAGATCCAGGGGAAGAACAAGGAATACACCCTGTTGGACCAAAGAAAGGCAAGAAATGTGCTTCCTCTCTGCATAAAGTCCTTCCAGATGGCAAAGCTGGCTGTGCTGGCCTGACAGCTCCTGTGATGGCAGCGACATCAAAGAGCTGCCGGGCAGGGAAAGCCAAACAGCCTCTTCCCTGTAATGAACTTCAGGATTCAGGAATGATGGAGGGCTCAACAGCAGCCTGGGCACCAAACAGCAGCAGCTTGGGAGCTGCACAACAGTCCAGCTCAGGGCAACACGAGGAACATTTTCCAGCATGGCAAGAGCACTGAGGGCTTTGGAGAGACCATTCCAACACTCCCAGGATGAAGTACTGCCTTGGAGTCATCTCAGACATCCAGGAGGGTGGCTGGGTGGTAAATCCTTATCTTGGAGATGTTTGCAGGATGGGGTGGTAGGGATCTCTGGATCCAGTCCTCTCCTACTGGGAAGCTGAGTGTGAGCAGACCCCTTGGAATTGGTTCTAAATCACAGTGGGAATGCTCTTTTCCAACTACCTAATTTCCTCCAGTCTAAGTAATATCACCGTAAATCCACTCTGCCTTGCCCTCCTCGTTCTTCCTGAAGTGCTGCCACCACCAGCCTGGTTTCTCCAGGCATCCAAGGGCCTGAACGTGGCTCGGCTTCGGCACCGGTGATTCCTGTCTCCTTTAAAGGGAAAACTGGCACCCAGAGCCATCTGAGGGGAATCCAAGGGTCTGTTGGTCCATTAGGACACGTGAATTTTGGTTTTTTTTGTATTCCATTCCTCTGGAATGGGATGAAGATGGCCCTCTGCAAGCCTGCATCCCATGGAAGGAGCCTGGTACTTGTCGTGCCCAGGCAGAGAGGGAAGCCCTGACCTCCTGTGTCCTGCAGCAGTGCCTTTCAGGACCAAGAAAAATGGATCAGATTTGCTCCAGAATGGATCAGATATGCCCAGAGATGGGTCAGATGTGCTCCAAGATGGGTCAGATAGGCAAAAAGATGGATTAGTTACAGATGCAGGAGCCCAAAGGTGGACCCTCACAGAGCCCTGATGGGCTGGTTGGGGGCGGTTCTTCTTCCCACCTTGTCTGGGGTTTTTGGAGGGCCCTGGTCAGGTCAGTCCCACATCCTGCAGTGCTGATCCAGGATTGCTGGAGCTGTTGTGTGTGACAGATGCCATTGTACTTCTGTTCCCACGTTACTGCCCAAACTTTCAGGGCTCCTGGTACCACAGTTAGTCCCTGGAGGGCTTTCCCTCCTGTTCTTGGCTTTCCCAGAGGCACGGACGTGGCTTTGTGTTGTTCTGCAAATGCTTTTCTGTGGCTTCCAAAGCATCCTCAGGGTGGATATTGCCAGGAACCATCCCTGATAACAGCCCCTGGGATCCTTTGCGCTGGCTCTTCCTTCCTCTTTTCCCTTTTCCTTTTTCCCTTTCCCTTTTTCCTCTTCCTTTTTCTTTCTAGAATCATGGAATGATTTCCTAAACCTTTTTATTTCATCTGGGATCACTTTCCTGGGCAATTAAAGAAAAATCCTGATACCGTGGGCACAGAATCCCAGAATGATTTGGGTTGGAAGGGGCCTTAAAGCTCATCCAGTCCCACGCCCTGCTGTGAGCAGGGACACCTTCCACCACCCCAGGTTGCTCCAAGCCCCATCCAGCCTGACCTTGGACACTTCCAGGGATCCAGGGGCAGCCACAGCTCCTCTGCCCAACCTGTGCCAGGGCCTGCCCACCCTCACAGGGAAGGATTCCTTCCCAGTATCCCACCTAACCCTGCCTGTGGCAGTGGGCAGCGTTCCCCCTGGTCCTGGCCCTCCCTGTGGCTGGTGGCTGTGTGGAGCAGGGCTGCCTGTCCCCTGCCCCTCACGTGGCTCCCTGTGTCCCTCAGGTCGACAGCGACACCATTTGGAACGAAGTGCACTCGTCGGGGGCCGCCCGCCTGGCCGTGGGCTGTGTCATCGAGCTGGTCTTCAAAGTGGCCACAGGAGAGCTCAAGGTTGGTGTGGGAACAGCCCTGGGCTGTGCTGGGGGCTCGGGGATGCAGGACTGCAGGAGCTCCACCGCTTCTCTCCCCCTCCCAGAGAGCATCATCACCCACCGCTCTGCTCTTGTGAGAAAACAAACCATCAGGAGCAACCCCGTAGTTCCAAAGCACAGTTCAGGCTTTCCCCTGCGGATTCTGCCTCTCTCTCTTTGCCTCTCTGACTTCCTCCCTGTCCTGTCTTTGTGTGCAGAACGGATTTGCCGTTGTGCGGCCCCCGGGGCACCACGCGGAGGAGAGCACCCCCATGTGAGTATGAGGGAGGGCTGGCTTGAATTGCTGCAGGGCTGGCCTGATCCACAGCTGGAAATTCCAAAGGAATTTTGCTAGGTTATCCCTCCAGAATTCCTGTTCATTGAGAGGTGAGATGAGTTGTATCCAGTTCTCTGGAAGAGGGTAAGGTCCTGCTTAGTGCTTTCGGGGGGGTGTTTTCTAGCAAGGATCAGCGTTCCAGCCTCTCCTTGCAGTGGGTTTGGGCAAATGTGGGGCATTCCCTGTTTCCCCAGAGCTGGCAGGATGCCTGCTGCTGGAATTCAGCACATGGCCATCTTCCAGTGGGAAGTGGGTCCCTGCCTATGGCAGAGGGTTGGAACGAGACAAACCCAAACCCTTCCGTGTTTCCAAGGAGGAAGGAAGGAATTCCTTCCTCCTGTGTTCCACCAGGTGATGGATGCACTGAGACCAAGGAAAGCTGTCATTAACCCCTGTCCTTCCCTCTTCTCTCCCCTTCCAGGGGCTTCTGCTATTTTAACTCCGTGGCAATCGCAGCGAAGCTGCTCCAGCAAAGGCTCAACGTGAGCAAAATCCTCATAGTGGACTGGGTGAGTAAATCCACTTATTTTCCTTGGGGAACTGCAGGTGGAAATTATTCTGGGTGGGTTTTTTCTTGTAAGGGGCAACTCTGGTTTTGTAAGTCATTTGTTGCCTGTGCTCTGCAAGAGAAAAAATTCGGGGTTTAAAGTGATTGAAAGTGTTTTAACAAACTTCTTGAAAAATCCACAGTTTCCCAAATAAAGTTGTAATTGAGAAGTAGTTGCTTCCTAAAACAGGCCCGACCCACAGTCTCAAGGATAACTCAAGGGCTGTTTTTTTTCCTGGTCCTTCCCGGTTTTCTTTTCAAGATGCAAGGACCAGCTGCTGGGAGGAATAGGCTGCTTGGCACAGCTTGTCCTTCTGAAGGGATGATCCATGTGTCCTACCTCTGAGAAAGAGCTCCTTGGGGGTTTTGCTGGGGCAGTTTATAGATTTTTATGGTTTTTAATAAATTTCATGTGGCTGTGAAGGCATTGGAGTAGCTGGAGGTCAGTCAGGAGTTTTGATTATATTGTCAAATGGGCTAAACCGAGTTAAAGTGGATTTATTTGTCTTTTGGACCTACTGTAAGGACATCCTTTCCCTCACTTCCCACCTGTTTTTCACAGCAGGAAGGGGAATTTTGAACACCTGTCCAGTTCCAGGCTGTGTTTCTGCACCACATGAGGGGTCTGGAGATGGGTTGTGTTGTTCAACCTCCTTGGGTCCAACACAACTTTACTGGTATCAGTTGCAGATTTGGGGCAAAAAATGCAGTTTCTCCATCGCCCAGTATCTGGTGTGAATGCAGTTCTCTCCATCCAAGTAAACCAGTCCTGTCTCAGGTTCCACAGACACTTGGGATTGTGTTTATTCTGTGTTTAACAAGGAATCTGTGGGCAAAGCAGGTTATTCCCTTTTCCCATAAACTCCTTCAGCCGGATCAGGGAAGTGCCAAAATGAAGTCCAAGTGCAAGAAACCCCCCAAATCCCAATTTTTTTGCCTTTAATCCACATTTTTCCGAAGGTGTTAACCTCTAATCTCTGTCCCTCAGGATGTCCACCACGGGAATGGGACTCAGCAGGCCTTCTACAATGATCCCAATGTCCTTTACATCTCCCTCCATCGCTACGATGATGGCAATTTCTTCCCAGGCAGCGGTGCTCCCGACGAGGTGAGGGCATGGATTGGCACCAGGACCCGCTCAGGTGCCCCCAGAAATCCCAGGAGGCCCCTGCCAGGCTTGGAGAGAAGCTCCTGCCACCTCAGTGGTGCTCCTTTGGGAACACATCCCTCGGGTTTGTGTGTTTGGGGCCTTCCCCCCAAGTCCTCCCAGCAGTGGGCTTTGTGTCCTGCTCAAAGTGAGTCATTAATGAGCAATTAATGAGTAATTAATGAGCCTCAGATGAATAAATAACCCTGAATTGGAGAATTTTCAATTCATTTGCAAAACATTAATTTTCAATTTTATTTCGTTTTTCATATGCAGAGACCTTCTTGGCAAACAAGCTGCTGGAACCCCTTGTTTTGTTTTTCAGTTCCCCCCTGTTTTCAGGTAGCTGCAATCAGGGCAGATGGGGACAGGCAAGGAGGGGGATTTAATTCCATCTCCATCTCCCACCCACGTCTCCCTCAAGCAGCCAAAACCTCTTCTCTGTGAATCTTTTTTTCCCCAGCAGAGGGGGAGCTCACTCTGATTAAAATACAGGGTTTTTTCCCCAGTTGCAACTGTAAGGAAATAGAAAATACGCTTCTGGATAAAGCTGAGAATTAATTATGGGAAGGTATTGCATTCCTTAAAAAACAAGGAAGAAGATCCAGGCGCTGGTGAGGTGTTTTTTGGGAGAGCAGCAGCCAAATTCCACTGGTCCTCAACTCCCATAAGGATCAGGGCAGGGAGGAGCTTTATTTTCACTCTTGTTTTGTGGACTGGGGAAGAATTCACCTCACTGCTGAATCCAAGAGATGTGCTGCCATAATTCCCTGTTTGTATCCATGTGTGTTGTTAAAAGTCCCCTCTCCCTCTTCCAGGTTGGCACAGGAGCAGGAGTTGGTTTCAACGTTAACATGGCATTTACTGGTGGCCTGGATCCACCCATGGGAGACACGGAATATTTAACTGCTTTCAGGTAAGAGGGAATTGTTCCTCTTCAAAATTGGGTTTTCACCTAAACTGGGTTTCTTTCTCCTCCTTAATCTGGGCTTTCTGCCTTTCCAAGGTTAGAAAGACAGGATGTGCAGGTAGTTGCAGTTACTTTTTTGAGTGCCATGACAAAAACAAGCTGAATTAGGATATTCCTCGAGGGATGGACAGATTTGCTGCTCAGCATTGATGGATCCATGGATAGAAATTATTCACTGACAGGAATAAACCCTTCTGGTTCTGGCTAAAAACCTCGTGACCTCTTTAGGGGGAGTATTTCTGTGGCTGAGCTCACCTGGGTGGGAAAAGTGGGATAAACTTTGGGAAGAGTCAGCCCAGGTTGGAACTGGGGGGGTGCAGCTGCCCCAGGGCCTGAGGGGGCACCTCTGGGACCCAAAAATGGCATCACTGGAGGCTCCAAATGGAGCAGGGGAGGAAATCACTTGACTCAAGGTCAAGAAAAAAAAGTTTAGATTGGGATACTGGGAAGGAATTCTTCCTGGGGAGGGGTTGGGATGGAATTCCCTGGGAAGTTGTGGCTGCCTCATCCCTGGAAGTGTCCAAGGCCAGGCTGGAGCAGTCTGGGCTAGTGGAAGGTGTCCCTGCCCATGGCAGGGGGTGGAACCAGATGAGCTTTAAGGTCCCTTCCAACCCAAAACACTCCATGATTTTTTTTAGACAGTCTTGTCCCACACCTGCCTCCCACCTGTGGCTCCAACCTCTCCAGCTGGAATTTTTTTAAAACTTTGAAGTGGTTTTCTGTCCTCAACAGCAGGTTTGGTGGCCACCCCACCTAAATCCAGGGAGATGCATCCTTCCTAAGACATGGGTTGTGAGTTTCTGGAATATCACCTTGCTGGGATGGCATTAAATCCAGGAGCACTCTTCCCTGTCCTAAAGAACATGTATTTATCTTCTGTTACACTGAGCAAAAAGAGCTTTCCCCGCCCCCCTTCATGCTGCTGTTACACAGCCTTCCAAGGATATTCCCAATTTAAAACAACACCTTGTCAAATCCCTGTTTTCTTCCTGGAAGGCAGCACTTTGCTCCAAGGTGGAAGTCTGGTTATCCTGACATTCCCAAACCTGGTCTCTTCCTTAGGCAGAGAACCTGGAGTTGGGGACAGAGTGACATTAAATATTAATTAACTTCCCAGGCTCCTGGAAAACTGCCTTTTCCCAGCCATTCCTGGTGTCTTTGCCCGGAGAGAGCAGCTCTTTGGGGAGCACACTTTGGAGCTGCTCACAGCCCTTTATTTTTAGGAGTTTTTGGGAAGCTCATGGGACTCCATGTGCACACCTTCAGTCCATAACTTTAACGGGAAGCCTTTTTTTCATCTTGCTCCAACTTGGGGCACGATAATCCATTATCAAGTGACCTTTTGAAATCTCCACCAGCTCCTTTGAAAAAGATTCCCCCCCCCCCCCACCGCCCCGAATCTTTCTATTGATTTGAATGTAAAATAACTCTTTGAAGTTTGCAATTTATAGTCCCCTGAGAGTCAGAAAGTGAAGGGAATGGGTCATATATCCCATTTTTTCCCCCCCTTCTTTTCTTGCTTTAGCCCCCGGAGACAATTCATGCCTTCAAGGCAGCACCTTGTTATTCCACCCCATCGAATGCCACGTTGCATTTGCCGGGGATCAAACCAGGAGATGAAGGAAAGATAAGAAAATTGGCCATAATGAACTCCAGAAGCAGGAGGCATTTTCACCATGAACTTGGAAACTCTGCAGTGGAGAGCTGAGCTTTAATTCAAACCAGTCCCGGTGCCAAACTGGGAAGGCTTTGAAGTCTGGAGAGGAATCAGTGGAAATCCTTTGAGCCAGGCAAAGATACTGATAGACTTTTTTTCTTTTCCCTTTTTTTTTTTTTAAACCTTAACTCTTCACATTCCCCGTCTATTTTAGAGGGGAAAAAAAAAGAATCCTTTTTCTGCATAAAAGGAGCAGAATTAAATCGAGCACCACACGCGATGGTTTCATTTCAAGGTGAGCCAGTGTGTGGGTTTGAGAAATGAAAACAACGGAGCTAATTGTCCGTGGAAATGAGGGAATAAATAATTCCTAATGGAGTCACTCATCCCCCCGCTGGAAACCTGTTTCGGTGCGAGTTTACTCCATCCCAAAAGAAAGAGGGGGGTTTGCATCAGTGATTTTCCTACTGTGATTCCTCCTCCAAATATTGCCCCCCCCCCCCACTTCTTGCAGTGGGGTTACAGAATATTCCGACTTGGAAGGGACCCACGAGGTGCCCAGGCTCTCCTGACCTCTGGATGCTCCTTAATCCCACCAGGATGTCCCAAAAGTGAGAACAAGGGTTAAAAACGTGCCTTGCCCTGCACTTTATCCCCGTTACCTTCGTAACCCAGGGCTGAAATCACCGGCTCGGGGTTGGGCTGGTGGCATTTTTTAGGGGGGGACACAGGGTGGAGATTCCAGGAGGGATTCGGGGAGTTTGGGGGAAGCTTGGAGCAACTCCACTCCATCCCAATTTTGGGCTGAACTCTCCCCCAAAATACGTGGGCAACCCAAATTGCAGAGATCAGGGAGAAATGTGTTCAACCTTAAAGGGGAAAATGCGGGACATGTCATTCCCAAAGTCCTCAGCTCATCCAGCCCTTCCTGGGGTCTGTTATTGCGTCGTTATAGAAACAAACAGTTGTAAAAGGCTTGGAGGGTTTTCTGACTGGGATGTGTCATTCCCTGATGTTTTACACAAGCGGGAATGGCGTTTCCTTCCCCAAATCCTCCCCGGGAACGTGCAAACCCAGCTGAGAGACCTGCAGGGAAAGGGGGAAACTCCCGCTGGTTCCCTGTTCCATGGGAACAGCAATCAGTGGAATTAAACTGTGTTACCTACGGGAGTTTCGCTGCAGGAAGGTTTTCCTGGTGGTTGGAGCAGGATTTTTGCCCCCGTGCCGAGGTCTCCTCCACAGTTAGAATTCCACACGCAGCTCAGTTGTTTTTTCAAATACCTAAAGTGGAAGGAAAAGCCGGGACTGTTGGGAAGATCCCTCAAAAAGCATTAAATGAGTGCAGGAACCCATTTTGGGAGGGATTTTGGTTTTCCCTGGGATCCATAAAGCGGGAATAAGGAGCAGGAGAGGGGGGGAACGATGATGGGTTTGCCTGGCTTGGTTGTTCCTGCGTTTTCAATTTCATGCTCTTCTGACACTGATCTTATCCCCGAATTCCTAATCCCTTTGGACATGGAAAATGAGCGTGGAGATGGATGCCTGGAGAAAGAAAGGCTGGAATTTTCAGGAGGCTGATTAGCCTTAGGAGCAGTGGATGACATTTTGGGTTCTACACACATTTTTTAATATGTATAAAAAATGTGTGTATAACCATATACATATAATATACATACACATTTATATATATTTATATACATTTATATACAACATACATAACACATATAAATATATATTATATATAAATATTTTAAATATATAATCATATATAAATATATAACAGATAATTTATACATAGCGTATAAATACATATGTGCACATTTACATGACATGTATAATACTTAATAATATATATAATATAATAATATAACTAATTAATATAATACTTAAAATAATATAAAATATCTAAACATAGAAATATACACATGATGTATTAATATATAATATATAAGTAGATGCAGAATATATTAAAATGTATAGCTAAAATATATGAGAACATCTACATGATATATAGATATATATCTAACTAGGTGCATAATATATAAAATTGTACACATATGTATAAATAGCATATATAAAAATGTATAATTTATATAACTAGATGCATAATATATAGTTATAGGCATATACCCATAACATAAAAAATAGATCATTTATATATGTATAATGTATACTTAACGTGTATAAAATATACTTATAAAAATAGATGCATAATATATCAAAATATATCCTTAGCACACGTAAATATACACATAACATATATAAAAATATATTCTTAACATAGAGAAATATATATAAAATATATTTCTGTTAACAGATGCATAATATATAAAAGTATGTGCTTAACATACACATAGACATAACATGTTTAAAATATAGAGAATTTATATGAATAAATGTGTAATATGTTGTTCATTTATGTAAATATACACATAATATATAAAAATGTATTTTTATAAATATATTATATATAATATATATTAATGTGTATAATATATAATTTATATATTATATATAATTTTAAAAAATAGATATGTAGTACATATAAATATAACACAAAATATGTATTTATACAGATAGACCCATAATATAAAAAAATATATCCATAGCACATATGAATATCTACAGAACATATATAGAAAATAGATAAAACATTTATATATATGGCCAACAGTGGGAAAAAGGCTCCCCTAAAATGCTCAGCCTTCTAAATTTCCCTGACTTCCTCGCTGCAACTGAGCATTTAAACCCCAAATTAATCTTCTTTTGGATTGTTTTGCCTGCATGTCATTTATTAGGCATTTAATTGGCCGATTGGCTGATCCCAGGCTAAAAATAATTCCTTCAGGCCTCTGGAAAACAGAGCTAAAATTGCATTTATTTTTTTCTCCTCGCTCCCAAGCGATGGCAGGACACGCTGGGGAGGTTTTGCTGTTTGCAGCCGCCAGTTGTCCCTGTTCAGCCTCTTCAAAAAGAGAGATTTAATTTAGTTTAGGCAAGCAAACCAAGCCTCTAAAATTCAGGAAATTTCAATTTCCTTGTGTTCTGAAAGAGTCCACGTGGATTGAGGGAATACTCAGTGTTAGGGCTGTTCATTCCTCACTGAAGAACTTTACGGCCATTCCTTAAATGCCCCGATTCCAGGCAGAACTGCTCGTCTCCTGGATGATAATTTGACTTTCTGGCTTTTTTGTGGTCTCATCCTCAGGGCAGAGCCCTGGGGTTGTTTGCAGTGGAATCCTCGTTTTCTCTCCAGGACTGGGCTTTACTGGGGTGGATCTGAGCGAAGGGGCTGGTTTTCCACGTGGGCAGGGAGGATTAGGGAGGAAAAGGCTTGGGTGAGATGGGCCAGAAATGTTGCCCACAGGTGGAATCCTGGAAACATGGGGGATTTCTTTGCCTTTTTTTCCAATTAAAAAGGCAAAATGAGGGGATGCTGACTCTGACCCTCCTGGATCAAGTTTTATGTCCAAAGATACAGCTGCTTTTATGGATGTGGAGCTGATATCAGCGTGGAGTGTGGCTTTGGAATATTGATCTCTTTACTCTCACATCCAGGGACAGGGCCCCAGGGAACAGCTGGAGCTGTGCCAGGGCAGGATTAGGATGGATCTCAGGAAAAGGTTCTTCCTTTGGAAGGTGGTTGGGCACTGAACAGGCTCCCCAGGGAAGGATCCAGAGCTCAAGGAGCATTTGGACAACACCCTCAGGGACAGGGTGGGATTGTTGGGGTGCCTGTGCAGGGCCAGGAGTGGGACTGGATGATCCTGGTGGAATCAGGAGATTCTGTGATCTCTGATTCTGGAATTTGGAGAAAATCAGAAGCAAGAGCAGCCCTTGGGAGTTTGGATGGGAGTCACAGGGGAAGGGGAGGCTTCGGCTCTGGATTTGGGAGTGCTCTTGGCTTGGGACGTGTTGGGACTGTCAGTGGACACGGACTGTCTGTCTGGACCTCTCGGAGAGGGAGCCAGGGGACCTGGGACACATTCCTTAAAACTCTGAGGGACCTCCCAACAACGCACAGCACCTCTTGGAATTGCTCCCAGTTGGAGTAGCCATTTGTGGTGGGAGTCACTCCATCCTGCAGCGGAGAAAACTCTGGGCATCCTCAAAGCGGCTTCTTCTGAGCCCTGATTTGCTTTGAACCAACAACTGCTGCTTGTCCTCTTCTAAAATTCACCCACCAGGGCTCAGGGTTAACCCCCAGGTCCTGGCAGCTCCCATGGTGTCAGAACTCTGGGGGGAAAAATAAATGGGATTATTTTAGAAGTTTTCCTTTGATTGGGAATTAAAGGGCTCAGCAGGACTTCAGAGTTCAGGGAGAATAAAACCCTCAGCCCTGAGCGGTGGGTTTGGAAGTGCTGCTCCAGCCCTTGGTGGGGGAGGTGGATTCTATGGATTTATGGTGGATTTTAGGAGTGTCCTGGTAGCACTTGGGCCATCCCAGCACGGAACAGACCTCTCTGGGCTCTGTTTCAGAGCATCACTTAATGACTCCGCTCAGTAAAATGGCCGATAAATGCAAAGATATTTACGGGTTCCTGCTTTGGGATATGAATAAAACCACTTCAGGCCATGCTGGAAAAAGTTATAATGGAAAAAGAACATCATTTGGAAAATGCATCTTGAGATGGGGAATGGGGTGTTTGCAGCCTCTCCTGTGGGTTTTGAGGAGAAATTGTGGTGTTTGAATGGAGAGAAACCAAAGGGAAAAGGTCTTTTGGTGAGAACCCAGAGGCACAGAGCCCTTGTTTCGTTTAGATACCAGCTTGAACAGTCAATAGTTTATGGATGCTGAGCAATTCCATCCATTTTTTAGTGGATAAAATGTGAGAGGATGGGGAGCTGGCACTGGGAGAGGTGTTTTTGGGTGGGGAGCCAGTTCAAAGAGGTGTATTTGGGTGGGACATTTGCATTTTAAAGCTTTTTTTGCTGCGTGGGACATTCCCAACCTTTCATTTCATGGGAAATGAAAAGTTCAGCAAGGAAAAGAGAAACCAAAACCACTTTGCCGAACCTGAAGGAGATATTTTGGAGGAGGAACACGGAGACGGTGCCATGCACTGCCTTTTTCCAGGTGGATTTGCAGCCTGTGCCAGATACCCTCCCATTTTCTCCTTGTTCCCATGCCTGTAAAGCAGGATATGATCCCAGATGGGAAGCACAAGTTATTCCAGCTCTTTTCCCTGCTCACAACACGAGGACGTCGATGGGACAATCACAGACAGCGCAGCGTGTTCTGCTCTCGCCTCGGAGGAGAACAGGAGCTGGGCTTTGCTGCCACGGAGCAGCGGTGCCAGCTTGGAGCATTGAGAGGGTTTAACCATTCCTGGCTTTGCTCAGGAGCCCAGCTGATGTGTTCCTTGGTTCCTTTGTGCTGCAGGACCGTGGTCATGCCCATTGCCAACGAGTTTGCCCCGGATGTGGTGCTGGTGTCGTCCGGTTTCGATGCGGTGGAAGGACATCCCACCCCCCTGGGAGGGTATAACCTGTCAGCAAAATGTAAGTTGGGGCTTGGCAGGAGCAGGGAGCCAAAACTGGGGCCCAATTGCTGCTCTACAGTATTCCCAAATTTTATGTTTTGGGATTTAACCTCAGACCTTTCACTGCGTTGGCAAAACTTTTTCAGCCTTTTTCTTTTGACTTCCCCTGGGGTTTTATTTTGCAACATATATTTTACTCTTTTTTTTTTTTTTTTTAAGCATTGCATATTGCAATTTTGAGTGCAAATTATATTTATAATTTTTTATACATTTCTCCTTTTTGCTTTGAATCCGAGATGTCTTTAGGAGATGCACTGAAATCCCCCCTCCTAGGTTATGCTGAGCTGACCCGGCACTGTTTCATTCCAGTGAATCCAGGAGACAGTTTTTTCTTACAAAAAGAATTTTATTCTTATTTTTTAAGAGTTTGTGTAAGCCAGGAAAGTTGTTCTCTCCAGTGAACTTCAAAAACCTCATGAGGGAGCTGAACCTTATAAACTTTATATAAGAATAAAGTGAAATAGATTTACAAGAGACAAGTTATTTGAGATCTCCAGAAACACTTGGGAACGAGAAGCCCTTGTTTACCTGCTGCTAGAATTTCCCATGGTTTGCTCCTCTCCCAGAGCAGTGAATCATTTTATCTGCCTGTTAATTTGTTAATTTGCCAGTTCTGCAGAACACAAAGCAGGGCGATGGAGGGGAGAAATTCCCTGGCTTTCCTTTTGTTTGGCTTCTGGGATTTTTTCTGAGGGGGAAGGTTGCTTTGAGGACACGTTTTTTAAATCCTCCCAGCTTGGGTCTGTTTTGTTTAAAGGGGAGAGAAATGTATTGTGTGTCATCTGATCAAAGTGCCGGGTGCCCCTGGAATTTTTATAGCATATTCTATAGGGGAAGAGCTGTCTGCCGAGAACGAGATGTCAGATGGCTCTGGGGCACTGCAGTGCTGCTATCCCTGCTGAAATATTCCTGATTCTCCCTCCTCCTCCCTCCCCTTCCACTGCTCCCACTTGACGTCTCCCAAACCACGGCTCCGACTCGGCATCTCCCAAAGCAGGACCACAACCTGCCTCTTTCCCTCCTTCCCAAGGGAGTATTCCCTGCTGGGGTGCCGAGGGAGGTTGGTGATACTCTCACCTGGGATAAGCTCCCGGAGAATCCATCCCAGGGAGCTGTGGCTGGAATTAAAACCCAGCCTGGCTCACATTGCGCGTTGAGTCCTTTCAGGCTGAACTCCCGAAGAAGGGCCAAAATCCGCCTCTTTCCCTCCTTCCCAAGGGAATATTCCCTGCTGCACTGGGGTGCTGAGGGAGGATGGAGGTGCTCTGGAATTAAAACCCAGCCTGGCTCGCATTATGCGCCGAGTCCTTTCAAATCCCTGGTGGTTTTTTTAATATGATGTCATTCCCCGCTCTCATCCTTTGATCTGCCGCCAGGAGCCCCGTTCCAGGCACAACCTCTGCCCTTCTGCTGCATGTCCTCTGTTCCCTCCTGCAGGCTTTGGGTACCTGACGAAGCAGCTGATGGGCCTGGCCGGGGGCCGGGTGGTCCTGGCCCTGGAGGGCGGCCACGACCTGACCGCCATCTGCGACGCCTCCGAGGCCTGCGTGGCTGCCCTGCTGGGCAACGAGGTACGGGACACGTGGCACTGACCTGGGGCACCCTGGGGCTGCGGGGCTCCATAGGGGGCCTGGGTGGGCTGGAGGGTTGGGCTGATGGCAGCGGGATGAGGTTCAACCGGGACAAGGACCGGGTCCTGCACTGTGGTCACAACAATCCCCTGCAGCCCCAGGGCTGGGGACAGAGCAGGGGGACAGAGAGGGACCTGGCGGTGCTGGTGACAGCAGCTGGACGTGTGCCCAGGTGGCCTTCTTGGCATCATTCCATGGCATCCTGGCCTGGCTCAGGAAGAGTGTGGCAGCAGGAGCAGGGTAGGGAATTCTACCTGTTGGGATCTCTGGGCACTGGTGAGGTCTGACCTGGAGTGCTGTGTCCAGCTCTGGACCCCTCAGGTCAGGAAGGACATGGAGGGGCTGGAGCAGGGGCAGGGAAGAGCAACCAGGCTGGGGAAGGGACTGGAGCACAAGTGCTGTGAGGAGAGGCTGAGGGAGCTGGGGGGGCTCTGCCTGGAGAGGAGGAGGCTCAGGGGAGACTCAGCACTCTCTGCAACTCCCTGACAGGATGGGGAGAGCCAGGGGGGTTCGGGCTCTGCTCCCAGGAACCAGCAGCAGGGCAAGAGGGCACAGCCTTGAGCTGCCCCAGGGGAGGTTTAGGTTGGACATGGGGAAGAAGTTGCTCCCAGAGAGAGGGATCAGCCACTGGAAGGGGCTGCCCAGGGAGGGGGTGCAGTCCCCATCCCTGGGGGTGTTTAAGGACAGACTGGATGTGGCATCAGTGCCATGGGCTGGGTGACAGGGTGGGGTTGGGGCAAAGGTTGCACTCAGTGATCTCAGAGGTCTTTCCCAGCCTGGTTGATCCTGGTAAAAAAACCTCCACCTTCCTTGGATTTGGGCAGCTCATCCCCCAAAACCTGCCAAAGTTTCAGCATCGCTTTGGGTCCTTTTGACACTCATTGATTTGAAGAGTGTTTTTGTTATATAAAAGCTACTTGTGCTTGACAGTCTGAATTAAGCAGAGTGAAGCAGCTGAAAACTGATTTTTTGGGTTTATCCTTTATATAAATAACTTGCTTTGTGCTCTTTGAAAAAAATAACTATTTTAATTTACTTCTGAATTCATCCTCCAAGCCTTCCCTTCCCTTTGTTCCCCTTTTCTAGACCTGTTGCTCGCTTGGCACTGTTTGCAGTTGTGTTTTGCAGTTTGTATTTTCTGCACATTGCTGTATAGGAAAAGGCTCAGCTGTGTCAGAGAAATTGGCTGGAAAGGTCGGGGGGTGTGGCTGCAAGATAAGGGCAAGACAGAGAAATACACCAGGGAATTACAGGGTTTGGATTCTGGGAAGCTCAGCGAATTTTCCTGCCGAGGAAACTTTAGATACTTCAGCTTTTCTGCCTTGTTTCCTCCCACACTTTCAGTGTCAGTAGGATTAAGGAAGAAATGCTGCATCTGCAGATCTTTTAAACCTCTGCAGGGATGGTGACTCTGCCACTGCCCTGGTCCCCATCCCTGGGAGTGTCCCAGGCCAGGCTGGACGGGGCTTGGAGCACCCTGGGCTGGTGGGAGGTGTCCCTGCCCATGGCAGGGGGTGGAATGAGATGAGCTTTCAGGTCCCTTCCAACCCAGACCATTCCACGATTCCATGACATTTTTTTTGCATCACCCACCTCTCTGAAGCCAAGTTGTCACCACAGACAATTCCCCTGGCTCCATCCCCCTTTGGGAGCAGCTGGCTGCAGTGGCAGGAAGCACTTTGGAAGAGAAACAGTGGGAATAACACCTGAAGGACATCATTCCTGCTGGGATGCAGGGGGGTGACTGCACCATGGGGTGAGGATCTGCCTGCAGTAAATAAATGCTTGATCCAAGCCATGGATGTGTTGGGAAGTGTGAGGCTGTGGGGAGATCCCAGCATTCCCAGGACCTCAGCCATTGTCAGCGACCCGAGTGGTTTCACTGAGCCGGGGGAGAGGTAAAAAACACTGAAATTTTTAATCACAGCTCCAAGACACTTGAAAATACTTCAAGCTAGACCTGTTCTCACTTGTCCTAGGTGGGCTGTAAGGCTGTGCAGATATCAGGCCAATATCCCCCCCGACTTACCCACACATCAAAAAGCAGGAAACACGAGTTTTATCACGGCCTTTCCTCAAATCTCTTTAATGCAGGGAAGTTGGAGGGAGCGGCTGGCGCTTTGTGCCGCGGCCCTTTGATGCAGTTTGATGTACAGCCTGTTAGAGGCTCCTGCCTGCACACACATGGACAGGCAGCTGTGGGAGCTTTGCTGCCTCAGGAACGATCCCAGAGCCGTGTGGGGACGGGTAGGAAATGAGGGGAACGGTGCCAGTCCCCAAAGCGTCTGCGGAGATCAAAACTCCCGCCTCGGAGCAGGCGTGATGGAAAAGCAGGAGCCGGCGCCTCTCCAACCGGCCAGGAAATGAAAGCGGGGCTTGGCTGTGCAGCTGAGGGTTGGGGTGTGCAGGGAGGCACTGCTGTGCCTTGGGAACGGGAAGGGATGTGTTACCTTGTGGGGACTCGTGTGACGCTGATGGGACATGAGTTGGAAAAACAGAGGTGGGGTTGGTGCAGGGAGAGACTTTGAGCCGGGCTGGGAGAGCTGGGGGGGTTCACCTGGAGAGGAGAAGGCTCCAGGGAGACCTGAGAGCCCCTGGCAGGGCCTAAAGGGGCTCCAGGAGAGCTGGAGAGGGACTGGGGACAAGGGGTGGAGAGACAGGACAAGGGGGATTGGCTTCCCAGTGCCAGCGGGCAGGGATAGATGGGATATTGGGAAGGAATTCCTGGCTGTGAGGGTAGTGAGGAGCTGGAATTCCCAGAGAAGCTGTGGCTGCCCCTGGATCCCTGAAGGTGTCCAAGGCCAGGTTGGATGGGGCTTGGAGCTGGGCTAGTGGAAGGTGTCCCTGCCCATGGCAGGGGGTGGAATAAGATGCTCTTTAATGTCCCTTCCAAACCAGACCATTCCAAGATTCCATGATTCTGAGCTCTGCTGATGGCAGTTCCACTAAGCCACTGTTCCATTCCCCAAAGCAGCCCCTGCCAGCAGTGCTGGGGGTTTGTGCAGGATCAGGCTCTCAAGGAGGTGCTTAAAACCTCTGCCTGATGCCCAGAGGTATTTCCTCCCCTTCCCAGGACAGCAGTGGCTGAGGCTGTTGTGTGTGAGGGTTATTCCAGGAGGAGGAAGAGGAGAGTGCTCTGGAAGCAGGAACGTGCTTCGGAGCGGTGTCAGAAAGCTCCTACTTAAAGACTCCCCCAGGCCCTGCTTTTGCCTTCCCTTAATGTCAGACAGAAACCAGTTTGGGCCAGAACTATTTTTAGAGCAGAGAATTAATAAAAAGCGCAATCCATAATTACTAAAATCTGGAATGCAGCAATTCCTGGTGCTCCTGAAGTACCTATGGAATGGCTGCCATGTGCTCATAAGAGCAGTCTTGGCTGGAGGTTCTCTTGGCTTTGAGCAGTTAAACTTTGCTGTAGATTTCTGGTTTCTTGACTGTTAAAACTGTGGCTGTTCTTTGCTGGAGAATATCCCTGGCTGGGCCTTGACTGTTGTTTTCAGTCAGTGGGCATCTCTGGTTGTGGACACTCAGCCATGGAGGTTTGTTAGGAATTCATGTTTCACGTGGAGAACCAGGGAGGGTGAAGGTGTTCCCCTCTTCTTGGGTTTTCCTAAAGGAAATCAAAGAAACCCCAAAACAGCCCTCCAGCAGTGCTGTCAGAGCCTTTTGTCTGGGATGTTCCTGCTGCAGAGCAGACTTGGCCAGGGTTGTGACCTCGTGGTCTTGATCCAGGAGGATGTCCAAGGCTTCTTGCTTTTGCTGACGTTTTCTGGCACGAGCAGAGCCCTGACTTGGTGCTCTGCAATCTCCACCTGCTGGAAAACGCCACAGAGGAGGATGTGCTTTTCAGTTTGGATCTGATTTCCCTTTGTCTATGCTGAGTGAAAGCTGCCAGGGCTGGGATGGATATGGGCAGAGCTCTCTATCAGGCAGGAGGAAAATATCTCCTGGAAAACAGGAGGAAGTGCTGTCAAGCACGGAAAGGGCATTTCATGTCACATGCAGTGCCAGGACACAGGGAATGGCTTCCCACTGCCACAGGGCAGGGTTAGATGGGAGATTGGAAAGGAATCCTTCCCTGGGAGGGTGGGCAGGCCCTGGCACAGGCTGCCCAGAGGAGCTGTGGCTGCCCCTGGATCCCTGGAAGTGTCCAAGGCCAGGCTGGAGCCATCTGGGATACTGGGGGGTGTCCCTGCCCATGGCAGGGGGTGGAACTGGATGGGCTTTAAGGTTCCTCCCAAGCCAAACCAGTCGTGATTCCATGACTCAGTGATAACATTTCTTTGGTGTTTCTCCTTCCAGCTTGACCCTCTCCCAGAGAAGGTTTTCCAGCAGAGAGCAAACGCTAACGCCGTGCATTCCATGGAGAAGGTCATCGAGATCCACAGTGAGTAGCCCCACTGACCCAGCTGGTTGCCTTTTGGGTTGCCCTGGGGGGACACCTGTTTGACTTTTGCACGGTCTGGCAGCCCTGTGTTCCCATGGCCTGGTTTCCTGGTGGTCCCTGCACCGTGAACTGGGGTGGTGCAGCCTCAGACTGGTCTGACTGGCCAGGGCAATGCACAGCGAGCACTTCACTCAGGGCAGTTCTTTAGCCCCTAAGGGGGGATTAGGGAATCAGGGAATGGTTTAGGTTGGAAAAGATCTTTAGGATCATCAAGTCCAACCCTTAATCCAACACGAAATAGGATTAAACCCTCTAAAGTCTCTGTAAGGCACAGACTGTCCTGCAATCAGAGCTTACTCTGATTCCTTCTGAAGCAATTATCTCTGAACAACACAAGTCTTGTTGGTTGCTGTGGCATCCTAATTAAGGATAGAGAGGCATGGAAGTGAAACAGGCTCCCAGGCACAGGGTGGGATTGTTGGGGTGTCCTGTGCAGGCCCACTTGATGGTCCTCGTGGGTCCCTTCCAGCTCAGGATGTTCTGTGATTCTGTGAGAGAGATTTGCTGATACTTCAGGTTTATTCATCCAGGGAGGTAAAAATCACTGCATTGGAGCTTTCCTGGGGAAATTCTTGGGGGATGGAGTGGAAGAGCCTGAGTAAGATAGGAATCCCACTGCTGTGTCCTGGTACCTTCCCACATCAAACATTTGTGGTTTAAAACTGGAGGGGGGTTGTCTCCCTTTTATAGGGTGAAAATGTAGCTTTAAAGACACCACAGCACTATGGGGATTTTTTTTCCCCCCTAAAAATGCCAGGTGGCTTTGGAATTTGAATTCCATTTCCAGAAGCTTCTCAGGAACGCTGGGACACCTCAGCAGCACCTTGAGCCAGCCAGATTTCTCTCTTTAAAATGAGCACAGCAAACTAAAAGGGGTTTGGAGTAAGAGCCTCAGATCTGCTGCCCAGCCCAGGAGAAAGGGAGATGCTTGAAAACAAGTTCCTTCCTCCCCTTGTGCCACCCTCGCTGTCTGGGGTCTTGCTTTCAGGTTTTGCTGTGGCTTTTTGGGTACCAGGAAATTCCTTGGGGGCCAGGAGAATGTCCTTTATTCCCTTCCCGCTGGTGTTTCCAATGAAAATGGGTGGCAAACTGACAGCATAAAAAAATCCACTGAAGGCTGAGGCCTGGACTTGATGATCTTGGAGACCTTTTCCAGCCTTCACGGTTCTAAATCCAGCTTGGACTTCTTTAGTCTTAGGGGATTTGCCTACAAAAAGCGTGTGGGAGTTAGGAACTGAATGCAGGTGTCCAGTCCAGGTCTGGATTGGACTGAATCTTTCCCTTTCCAGTGTTTGTCCTTAGGTCTGCAAGTTTCTGAGGGTTTTGATGTGAGAAAGGAAAGGAAAGAGGAAAGGGAAGGTTTAGGAAGGAAAAGAGGGAAGGTTATTATCTGAGCACCACGAAGTGAGAGCAAGCAGGGCTCAAGGTCACAGAGGTGTGATGAGCCTTCCCGGGGTGGATCTGAGCGGGCTGGTGGGTCTGGGAAAGCAGGAGCTGTGATGGGGCAGGAGCCCTGATGTCCCTGTTCCCCCCTGTCCCCCAGGCAAGTACTGGCACTCCCTGCAGCGCTTCGCCTCCACGGTGGGATACTCCCTGGTGGAGGCACAGAAGTGCGAGAACGAGGAGGCGGAGACGGTGACGGCCATGGCGTCGCTGTCGGTGGGCGTGAAGCCGGCGGAGAAGAGGTGAGCTGCTTCCCTCCCCACCTCTCGTCCCATCCCTGCTGGGCTCATCCTCCCCTGCTGCTCTCCCTGTCCTCCCTGCGTTCCTGGACACCCCCTGGGTGTTTGGGCCGTGAGGGGAGGGATTGATCTGGCTGCAGGAAATGGGAATGTTGCACAGGGACAGGACCCAAGGGAATGACCTGGAGTTATGTCAGGGGAGCTTTAGAAAAGGGTTCTTCCCCCAGAGGGTGGTTGGCACTGAACAGGCTCCCCAGGGCAGTGGGCACAGCCCCAAGGCTGCCAGAGCTCCAGAAGTGAGAACAGATTGTCCAAACACCCCTCCCAGTGGCCAGTTTTGATTCCAGGTGAGCCAGCTGATCCCAGCCCTGTGGGTGGGAACGTGATGGGACTGTCAGGTGTGAAACTTGGCCCTGCTTTGCCCAGCTCTGCCGTGCTCACCCCTCTGCTCTCTCTTCCCTCCCTCTCCCCGTCCTGCCTGGCCGTGAACCCCCTCAGACCTGAGGACGAGCCCATGGAAGAGGAACCTCCCCTGTAGCATTAACCTTCGAGCTGGAGTTCTCCTGTCTGTTCGTCTTCGTCTTGAAGCTCTGCCAAGAAGCTTTCTCTTGTTACTCCTGCGTCCTGCCACGGGTGATTCCAGAACACGGGAAGGACAGCCAGGTGTAAAGCAAAGCAACCGACAACAAAACCGGAATCTCTGCCTATCTTTGAGTCTCTATTTGCCGAAAAACGCTGGTGAAGAGCAGCAAAGGACCGACAACGTTGGGTGCTCTTCCTCTGGTCCTCACTGGGAGCGCAACGAGGAACGACGCCCGGGAAGTCTTTGGCAGAGTTGCCAAAAAAAAAAACCAAACAAACACATACACACAAAAATATAAAGGAATCAAAGCTTCAACAACAGACACACGCGAAAATAAAACAAACCTTAACGTAAAAACTGGTGCTTACAACTGAGCAATCTCTGCTTGAACCACTCAGCCCATCGTGTAGTTTCATTTCTTGGATATTTTGGAACGGCTCTTGCCTGCCTGGGAGTCGGCGACAGCTCCTGTGGGAACGGGAACTCTGGGAGATGGTGTATTTTTACCGGGGAGGGACAGGGAATGAGGGACTCATCTGACATCTAAAGGAAAGGGAAGGAGAAAGGGGGAAACGTTGAGCCCAGATGGAGTCGGCTTTATGGTCTCCAAAGCCATCTGAAGATGAGTTTGTGCCTTTTTTTTTAATTGATGGATTTGGTGCAGCTGGATTTTCTGAAGTTTGAGGAACAATGCCTTAAGTAAAAAAAAAACAAAAAAACAAAAAAACACAAAAAAATTAATAATAATAATAAACCACAAAGAACACAGCAGTTCCTGAATATTTTTCCTCTGGTTGGGAAAGCCAAGAACTGCCATCAGGAAGGAAGACTTTTTTGGCTTGTGCTGGCATGGTGGTGGGAAGCAGGCATCAGCTGAACGGAGCGTCTCCAAAAACTCTCGACAAGTTTGGATTTGTTTTGTTTTCTTTCATTGCTGTTTCAAAACAAAAAACAAAAACGAAAAAAAACCACAAAACCAAAAGGAAAAAAAAAAAAAAAAAAAAAAAAAAAAAAAAAAAAAAAAAAAAAAAAAAAAAAAAAAAAAAAAAAAAAAAAAAAAGAAAAAAAAAAGGAAAAAAAAATAAGGTAGTTGCCAAAAAAGTGGCAAATACTGTTGGGTCTTTGAAATTCAACCATTTTTAACAACAAATTTTCCAATGTTTTCTCTCTCTTCTACATTATCTGGTAATTGAACTTATCGATTTGGTTGTCGAAGCATGTATTAGACACAACTGCAGGTTTTAAGACTGGAATGCTTTTTATTAAAAGCAACTAGCATGAGATATTGCTTAAATTGTTAGGTATAAATATATATATGTGTATAATGTATAGTCCAAATGTATTCCAAGCTTAGAAACCGGATTCCTATGAATTATTGAGAAAAGTATTTATGATGCATTTCTAGGAACAAAGAAAAAAAAAAAAAAAAGAAATATATGTAATAAATGCATACTCTAACAGTAGCCATTGGAAGCTCCCTAGGGAGAGATTTGGGAATTGGAACGTCCAAGGTGCTTTTGGAAAAGGATCCAGGTTGAAACATGAGGACTTTCAGGTGACAGGTTGGGAAGTTTTTCAGAAAGCCAACACTTGAGCCACTGGGCAACTACCCTAAACATTTGTATTTTAATTTAAGGTTTTTAGTTGTGATCCTTTTCTAACAAAGACAAGAAAAACAAAGAGTTTTTTATAGCGAAGACGATGAATTTGCTGTTAATTTTTATATGGATCTTTCCCGCCCCCCCCTCCCTCCGGAAGCCTTGTCTGTGTGACTCCGACCTTTCTCTCCTCCTCGGCAGGTTTCCCTCCCGAGCGGCAATAGCATCGAAACCTCCCTCCCTTCCTCCCCGATTTTCCTTTGGGGTTTTGCCTTTTCCTTTCTGCTTTTCTCTCCTTTCCCTCGACTCTTTTGGACGGTGAGCAGCTTCCTGCAGGCGTGAGGGACCGTGGCACACGGACACAGTTGATTTTTTTCGGGATTGGGTGCAGTTTTTTCAAGGAAGAGGGGACGTGGTGAGCTCTTTTGTATCACTGTATATTTCCTCAGTTCTCTTCTAGTAGCTGTGTAGAGAAAATAAGGAATTTCCTTACCTTTGACGTAGTAGCATCCAACGGGCGATGTCTTTGTCCTCCAAGGATCTCGGGAACCTTGGGAAAGCTTGTTGGACGCTCATTCCTGGCGTTTTCTCTCCGCCGGACCGACGGATGCCCGCACACCTCCCACCTCTCTCTTTTTCTCTCCTCTTCTTCCTGTCACTGGTAGGGCTGGAGGTGTTTTTTTCCCCCTGGGAATGCCAGGGTGGGAGAGGCAGCCAGCCATGAGGAGCTGAGCATCCTAGAGGAGCATCTTGGAGGCGCCGGCGCCGCCTCAGAGCAGTGTAGGACAGCACATCCGACCCCCACACGCAGCTTCTCCTCCATCCCTGTCATTTGGTGATCCCTGTTATTTTATCCTGTTCCCGTGACGACTGACGGGGCCGCTTCCAGTAACTTCCTCTTTCTCCAGTTCTCCCAGCAGCCGTTTCCATTCCGTTCGGGAGTCACGGGAGGCATTGGAACCGCAACCCCACCCGTGAGCGAAGGCAAGAGGCTTTTGGTTTATTGCTCCCTTTCTAGTGCAGTTGAAAACACTACAGTCTTTGAGTTGTGCAGACCCAAGTACGGTCGAAAATTGGGAATTTTAAGGACCATCCTCAGCGTTTCCTTAAGAGAATCCCGTGTGAGAACACGCTGGACCTGGGGATGGGGCGGACCGGGATTTTTTCCGCCTGCCCATTTTGCTGCTGTGACCTAAAATCAATCCCACTGCTGAGTTTGGTGACTGACTTGGAATTCTCCTTGGAATTGTCCTCCCTCTGTGGGCGGTGACCGTGTTCACACCCTCCTTTCTCTTGCCAGCTCTTCCCTGGAAGGTTTTTTTCCCGTTTCTCCTCTTGGTTGTGGCAAAGCTTTTTCCTTCCTTTTGGGTGTTCCCAGGAGCCGCCGGCTGACCGTGCTGAGCCGGTTCCTTTAGGAAAACCGGAGGAGCTCGTCGGGATCCCACCTTCCTTCCTTCCCATCATTTCACTCAGCTTTTTGCCAAGGGTGGAAAGATTTTTTTTCCCGAGGCGTCAGGGCTCGTCTCCTCTGAACTCCGGGCGACGTGGATTTGTTTGAGCATCACCCGCTCCCCTGGGGACGCTTTTCCCTGGGGATGCTCTTCCCCGGGGATGCTCTCCAGGGCACGGAGAGAGGGGCAGGAGCCCTCGTTTTGAGGCTCCCCGGGGATTTTTCACCTTTTTGAGCCATTTGCTTCTTCGTTTCCGATGGCTTTCCCAGAGGGCGGGAGCCCAGGGTGCTCCCGCATCCCACCGTGGTGCTGCCCGAGGCATCTTTGTACCTGCCTGGGAAGAGAAGGAGCATCTTTAAATCCTCTTTGCAGTGAAGTGAGGCCCAGTTTGCAGTACACAAATAGCCATTGGGTGTTGTTTTTGTTTTTATTTTTTTGGGGGGAGGGGGGGCGTTGTCGTTTTGCTTTTTGTTTTTGGTTTCTTACTTTCGATACAAAAACATTCCTTTTTTTATTAGTCACGGTCACGTCTTCATTCCATTCTTCCTTTTGTAAACTTTTTTGGGCCCACGTTCTTTTGACGGGCATTGATATATATAAATATATATATAAATATATATGAATATATTTTTTTAAGTTTCCTACACCTTGAGGTTGCATGGTCTGTAAGGTTGGCATGTCTTTATATTGTATACAGATTTTGCACGCCACACTTGGCAGCTTTGAAAACAAAAACAAACAAAAAAAAAAATGGTGGTTTGGGGTTGGGTTTTTTGTGGGATTTTTTTGGTTTGGGTTTTGTTGTTTTGTTTTTTCTTTCTTGGGTTGGTTTTTGTTTCGTTTCATTTTGGTTTGAGATTTTCTTTTTTCCTCTCGTGGCATTTGCGGAGACTAAAGGTTGGGATGTTGTTGTCACACACACACACACACAAAAAAAAAAAGGAAGGAGAGTGGGAATTTTTGTTTGTTTCACTGAACTCAATAAGAAATCGTGCTTTTCGTTGTTCAAAAGAGTAACTGCAAAGAAAGCAAACAAAGGACTACTTCAACATTTCTCATTTTAAGAAGAAAAAACAAACAAACAAACAAACAACTAAGACGTTTCTCTAGCACTTGTGACTTACCAATAATAGAGTTTATTGTATTTATGTGGAACCAGTGTTTCTAGGGGGGGAATCTACGCCGAACACACCAAGTAAACTGCCTGTGTCATGGTTATTCTCGTTACTCTTCTCATTTCCTTTCCTTTGGGTTGGTGTTTTCGCTTTGATTTCTCGCCTGGGCGGGCAGGTCGGGCGCGGCGGAGCGAGGAGAGCCGGGCGGCTGGGGAGGGCTGGGAAGGGCCAGCTCTCCAGCACAGCCCAACTTTTGTAAG